ATCAAAACTTCTTGATCTAACTAGCTGTGTGAACTAGGACAACGGATTAGAATAACCTATCGTGTCACTGTATTGTTGACCTTCGCTCTCGTTTACCGAGTAAAGAGAACTCGTAATAGCATTCAAGCATATCATCTAGTAAGATGCTATAACTATTTGAATTCTCTCTATCGCTTTGCCTATGCGTCTGTGTGTGTGTATGTGTGTACGTGTTCGTATGGTTCATATTTGCATGAGAATCGACCGAATCTTGTTTTCAGAAATTCATTCATACCAATCAACTGTAAAAAAATTGATCAATCAACAATCTGTGTTAATATTTGAATTTTACAAATAAAGAAAACGGAAAAAACATAACATCAGAAAAAAAACGTTACTTAAATGATTATTTTCCTTTCTTATTTTTGTTCTAATACAACCAGACGCAGTGATTTTTATATTGTGTAATTTCCCTTTTTATTACTTCTCCAATGACATCCTTTTCTCTGTTCATCATTATTCACTATACAATAATAATAATAATAATAATAATAATAGTTATAATAAACTACAAAACTTCAAATCGAGAAAAAACCTTCTGTTTGTATTTTACAAATTGACAATTGATCTTATGAATTTCTAATTTTATTATTCATTCTTGAATTACTGCATTCATTCACTCTACTCTACTCGCTCACTCTCTTTATCTCTCGCGCTTCTTCTCCATTGAATTCCACTAAATTTAAACAAACAATCTGTATTACACTGAATTTCCGCTGTCAAAATTTCAATTTATTTAACGATTAACACATCAAACTAGATAGATTAGTTGTAGATTAAAATATCCGATTTGTGTTTTGTTTTTAAAAAAAACAATTTTCAACGGATTTAATTGAGTCGAGAGTTGAGTGTACATTGAAAATTGAGAATTTCTCCAGTAAACGTGTCATACTTTCCCATTATTGATTAGTTAAAATTCATCAATTGCAAAGCGATTTACTTTCTTCATATATATATATATATATATATATATATATATATATATATATATATATATATATCATGATTTAATGTTATTTAGAAACCTGAAAAGTGTAAGATACTTTTCTGAACCAAAACTGTCATTTCCAAACATCCGAATAATTTTTAATTAGAGTTATGGAGATTAGTGTTTTTATAGATTTTAAATCATCAATCAATCATTGTTAGACCACTATTAGATATCTGTAAGCACTGGACGGCTGTTTCGTCCTGGTATGGCACTCGTCAGCACTGCGCATCCACGACTCCTGCACCTCGCAGGATTCGAACACGGGACCTTCGGTATTGTGCGCGATCAATCAGATCAGTCAGAGATAGACATTAACATCGTTGGATACCGGCCCAGTGATCCAATGGTTAGGCGTTCGCGCACAATCCTGAAGGTTACGGGTTAGAATCCTGCGAGGTGCAGGAGTCGTGGATGAGCACTGCTGATGAGTCCCATACCAGGACGAAACGGTCGTCCAGCGCTTCCAGGTTTCTAATGATAGTCTAACAATGATTGATTAATGATTTCGTATCTAAACAATTGATTCAGTAGTAAATAATATGTTTCATATTTTTGAATAACAACTAGTAGGTGGTAGAGTTCAAAGCATGGGATTTCATTCTATTTTTTGAACTCATCACTTGAAAAAGCCCTCATCCTAGTGTCAATGTTCACACTGAGACTCGAATTCAGCACTAATCTCATAAAGCATTAACATACACATCTATATACCAAACTGTTGAGTCAACATAGTCACAAACATGTCCAATCTCGGTGATATTTTTTCCTTGACTTATTGACCCATTGACTATTACTCTGGTAATCAAAATCTAAGACTATTTCATTGGAGTCTCACTATGAAAATCAACACTCGAATATAGATAAATCCAAGACAGACTACTTTGGATTCTATTACTTGCTACCGTTATTATTGTCGTTATAATTTCCACCGTTAAAACAAAATAGTCAAAATCACCTGATCACTTTATTATGCGTATTAATCAACAAGGGAATAAATTGACTAAAATTTCATTTCATTTCATTTTAAAGTATTAAAAAAATTTTTAAATTCTCTTCAGAATTGAAAAAAAATTATGCTATACAAATATTTTCATCATCATAAATAACAATCATTAATTTATCACATAGAAATCATTGAAATGTTTACAGCTTACTAAACATATGGCGTTGCTGTTGTTGTTGATTTCTCGATTAATATGACCTGATACCAAATTAATCTGATACTCTATGCCGATATATATATATATATATATATATATATATATATATATATAGCTTAGGCTCCGTACAAACATTCGAGTGTACGATAATAGCATTCTGCAAAATACACGCATCATAGCTGAAAATAATAATAATAATAATCGGACACTGTCCTAAATCTAGCCCAAAATTATTCATTCTTATTGTATTTATTCAAACATGTTAGTTAGACCAAGTTGTAAATTAAAATATACAGGATATATTTTGTGAAAATAAACCTACACTGAATGGTTTCATGCTTACTGTTATGCTAAGAATTAGTTTGAGTTGAGTTGAGTTACTAAATATCTATTGGTTGTAATTGTTATGTAGTTGAGTTCAGTTTCTTCAAGACTTAGTCAGTTCAATGCTCAGAAATGTAGTAATTAATTGCTAATCACTGATGATATCGCATGAGAGTAAGGCTTCATGATAAATTGATCATTTTGATTTGGAAAGGTGTATAAATCGACTATTATTTTTTTTCTGTGTAATTCTAACTCATCAGATTAAAATGGATATAGATTTTAATTACAAAACTTGGCATAGAGATAAATGACCTTAACATGAAGTACTACGAGTTTTTTTTTAACTAGTCACACAAAATAGTTTTTTGTTAATGAATAATGTACGAAAAAGAAAACAAGGTTATGATTAGCTTTGAACAGATTTTGTATATTGAATTATTAGTTATGGTGTTGCATAGGGCATTTTGCCTGTGAATCTCTCAACAATAATGACATTTAGACGACTGGTCTTCGCCGAGCTTTTTTAAGAACTTCAAACATCTTTTTCGCGTCTCCATCAAGTTTCTAGATACAGTTAGATATTTCAAGCTAGATCAAACTAGAAGTTTAGGACTAGGGTTCATCATCATCACGAATTGACAACAACTATTATGCAGAAATTCTCGATAGTCATAGTGTGGTGCGAGCTACTTATAAGTAGTATATGACGTGAGTGTAAACGTAAGGTCTGGCAGCAGAAGATGGGGGAAGATCAAGAAAGGAAGAGTTAGAACACAATGGAATTTGTATGAAACGCATGAATAGTGACAATGGATTGATGTTTTGCAACAGGAACAGTCCAGTTCGATATGATGAACTGATATTTTGCAAATTAACGATTTACGATATGGTTTTCCAATTTTACTGAGTAACTCTGTAATTTTCGTTAAATACAATTCGGTTGCCTCACCTATGTTCTCCTTCACTACAATAGGAATCAACATGTTTTGCACAAAAATCCATGAAATACTTTCTTCAATCTGATTAATTGATCCATAAAGTATAGGGTTAGCGGGTTAAGGTTTACAGTTAGATGAACGATCAGGATTTTATGGTGTTATTTATTTATCTGTTATGTGAAATATGCATAGAAATAAATCAAACATTTACATAGAAAATACTATCATTTTAACTCGATCATGACAAAAGGTAACTTTTTGCTCTCATTTAAAGCAATATAAACACTGCAGAAAATTATTTCTACTGCTTATTTCATGTAGTTTTTAAATTTCCTCCATAAATCTGATAGTGGTTGTCTCGATTCTGATTGTCTCGTTTCTGCACTATACTTCTACCGATAATCTGTGTATCTTGAGTTCAAATATTTATTAACGGTCATAAGTATGTGTACAAATCAACTAATTCTACCGGTGTTACTGTATGATGAAAATTACCCATAAACGTTGATTACTGAAGTGATCAGTTAGTTAATCGTGAGTGATTTAGATTCCGTCACTCTCCTCTGTTATATACATATATATCATCTGAATATATATTTTGTGTAGAGCCGATTCAGTAACAAAGTTCAAAGTTTTAATATACACAGTGAAATCTTGTTTGTATTTTCCATACCGTAGCTTAACCCTACATACTTACTTACGCCTGTCACCCCGATGGAGCATAGGCCGCCTACCAGTATTCTCCAACCTACTCTGCCCTCGGCTTTCCTTTCCAGTTCTGTCCAATTTTCGTTCATTCTTCTCAAGTCTTTCTGCATTTCTCGGCGTATTGTCTTCCTTAGCCCTTTCTGTTTTCCTTCGGCCTTGACGATTCCATGTGAGGGCTTGTCTCGTGACGCAGTTGGGTGCTTTCCTCAATGTATGTACTATCCACCTCCGGTGCCTCTTCCTGATTTCTTCCTCCACTGGAATCTAGTTTGTTCTCTCCCGCAGTAGGTTGTTACTCATAGTATCTGGCCAACGCATCCGAAGTATTTTGCGTAAACAACTGTTAATAAACACCTATATATTTTAGATAATTGATTCCGTGGTTCTCCAAGTTTCCACTCCATACAACCGAACTGTTCCCACATTTGTATTGAAAATTCTGACTTTGGTGTTGATTGATAGTTTTTTAAAGTCCTAAATGTTGTTCAGCTGTAGAAATGCTGCCCTTACTTCACTGATGCACACCTTCACATCTACATCAGATCCACTTTGTTCATCAATGATACTGCCCAGTTAGTTGTGTAAACGTTTTTACTTCTCCAAAAGCTTTTGCATCAAGTATGATTATACCATAGCTTAAGCATTCTTTAAATTTAATATTTCGACGAATCCAGCTATGAATAAAGCTATGATACTGTTTCTCCCTGTATAATGCATTAATGCCAAAGTTAACTATAAACAATATAAAAGAAAGCTAGCAAAAATTTCAATAAAATTCAATCCTATCATTCCACTGTTTATCTTTGTTCATTTGTTTCATACAGATTTATTCGTGGCATGACTTATGTGAATACTGTTGTTTTAATCACTGATAAATATATACATTTTATTAGGTAAGCTTTAATGTTCATAGTGTGTTTTCACTAATATTTTTTTTTACTTTTTCATAACTTCAAATCAGTCAGTTCCAATGTAGAACTTCGTACGTACGTACATCAGTTCAGGTTGCCCAACCGCATTAGCGTAGAGACTCAACTGTCAGTTCAAATCCAATAGTGCTAGCGATAGTAGAAGTACTAGAAGTAATGGAGAAGATTAGGGTTTGAAGATAATATTCGAGAAGTATGATTCAGTGAGACGAATTTAGAAAGAGAATTATAGAGGTATCGGGGAATTCAGATGGTTAGAATTTGAGAGAACACAAAGAGTGGACGCAGCTGTGCCATTGCAAACGATGTTGAGTCATGTCGTTCAAAGTCTGTAACCATCGGTGACTTTCGTCTCGTGGACCCTAACCAGGTAGCCTGCATCTGCAAAAATGATTCAGTCCACTTGTTAGTGATTTCATGGATTTGTACCATGTTTTGGTTTGGTCGCTCCTAGCTTTCTTTAAACGTACTCCTACATCACAAAACATCGCTCGAAAAGGCAGTCGTTGGTTGGGTATACATAACTTCAAATCGAGAACAGATAGATTTCCATTTTTTCATTCACGAACCCAATGACTCATTGCCCAAACTAATGACTTTTTCATTGTGATTAACCCAGTCAGTCAATGTAACAATTTCGCATAACACAGCCAGCGACAATTCTTCCTATAGACCCCATTTAGAAAGAAAAATAGTCCGAACGACTGAGAGACCACCTATTTACAAAAATTATACAATAAGAGCAAAGTTGAAAGTTCGTGTGCATCAATCACATGTGAGCTAACAACAGAAAAAAAAATTATGTTGACGCACACTAAAGTAATAAGTTTATCATTAACATTCATAGTACGCATGCAATATCTTTTAAACAAGAAAAAAATAACTCATTTCAATGTTGATGATATATATATATATATATATATATATATATATATATATATATATATTGCATTACGCGGTTGTGAAGATTGTTAAGTTACACATTTTTGAAACCATGAATCGATCAATGTGGGAAGTCGCGACCAGTGAATTCCAACTTGTTCAGCTGTAGACAGTAACTATCGAAGACTGTGTATGAGGTTGCGTAACTTCGTGAATTGATCGAAGTTAGACATTAACACCGTTAGATATCAGCTCAGTGGTCCAGAGGTTAGGCGTTTGCGCGCAAGACCGAATGTCCTGGGTTCGGATCCTGCGGGGTGCAGGAGTCATGGATGCGCACTGCCACTGATGAGTCCCATACCAGGACGAAACGGCCGTGTTCCAATGCTTCCAGGTTTCTAATGATGGTCTAAAATTGATCGATTCATGGTTTAAAACTATATGTATATACATATGTATATCTGATACTTCATCATTTACTGTATTTCATTGTGTGTTTTACCAACATATTTCACAAAATTAAAACTTAATTAGTCTTCTTTTTCATCATAACAATTATCTCATAAATCTATGCAAAAAATAAACAAACAAACAAACTTTTTATTGAAACTAATTTGTTCAGTTATAAAATCTACTGGATCCAAAAATTTTAAGTTTCAATTACAATTAATCGACTAAAACTAATGCTAATCCATTGGATTTGTCTTCTGACGACTGACTGATTACCAACCATTAATAGAATAGCTTAATTCTTCATACAACTATTAGCCTATTCATGATGCAATACAATACAGTGATTTCCTGTTCTAAATCATCTTACTTATTATTTTTCACTTTTTTTTCTCTTGATGCCCTATTTTAGAACAGATTTTGTGAATAGAAATAATCGTCCAGCTTATATACGAATACCTTTGTTAGCGATAGAACGAATTGAATTAGGTAAGAATAATAGTGGATCGTTTGCTTTTATACATTTACTTAATATTATCATATATAACTAAATTAATCACTTGATAGCCACTTTAAGTATTCAATAACTTCTACATACGATACCTTTAGTAGCTCTCCAAGTTTCTGCTCCATACAACAGAACTGTCTCGTCGTTCGTATTGAAAATTGTGAATTTAGTTTTGTTTGGCAGTTGTTTTGAGTTCTAGTTATTCTTCAATTGGAGCAATACCACTCTTACTTTACCGATCCGCTCCTTTATATCTGCATCAGATTCACCTTGCTCATCAATGATACTGCCCAGATATGTAAAGGTTTCTACACCATCCAAAGCCTCTCCATCAAGTGTGATTTGGTTACAGCATGTTCTGTTGTGTCGGAGAATCTTGCTTTTCCCTTTGTGTATGTTGAAACATACTGCTGCAGAGGCTGCTGCTACACCGGCCGTCTTCATCTCCATTTGTTGTTGTATATGAGATTGAAGAGCTAGATTTGCAAAGCACAGATCGTCCAGCTGTATCCGAACTGTCCACTGTAGTTTGTGCTTCCCATGAGATGCTGACGTCTTCAAAATCCAGTTGATCACCGGGATGAAGAGAAAGGGTGAGTGTAAGCAACCTTACCTGTCACGGGTCTTCAACTCGAACGAGTCTGTTAACTGTCCTCCATGAACAGGGACACCATAGCGTCGAAGAAGCCTCCATAATGTCATTCTGTGGACACTATCAAATGCTTTCTCCGTAGTCAAGCGAGTTGATATATAGTTGTGAGTTCCATTCAATTGATTGTTTCAAAATAATCCGTAATGTCACGATTCGGTCGGTACATAATCGTTCTTTACGGAATCCAGCCTGCTGATCTCGAACACAATAATGTACATTTTTTAAAATTCAGATATTCAAACCCACAGTGGAAATTTTCCGAAATAAACAGTTATGTTTTAGGTGTATATGATAAATATGTTAAAACTCTTTATTTTAAATGTATTAGTTGGTTCTGGCCAATTGGCCTCACCATTGTATGTATCTTTAAAAAAATACTCTGATAATTTTTATAACTAGTAAATTTATTAACAGACTTTTAGTTTCGTAAGAAAAATTTTTAATTGTAGAAAGATTTTTAAATTAACATCAATGTAACACCTTTCACAGAACTTCTCGTTACGGCAACCTTTTAAAATACGTTGCCAATTTCTTTCATGCTTCACATTTCTATGAATGCTTATACAAGTCTCTAAAGGGAACATATTTGAGACAAATGTCTAAATCGACCTCATTACTCTTGGGTAATTTATTGTCATCTTAAATCATTTGTCTATATTCAGACTATTTGATACGATTTCAACAAGTCACATCTCTTGGAGTGTAAGATTGATGATAACATTAGTGTTAGGGACGTTAGATCCCCAAAACTCACTTGATGGAGGTCCTAATTTTGAATTTTGTGGTTTCAGACATGGGCTGACTACATTTCCCACCAGGAAAATCCTTGACTGTCATTGGTTATAGTGTTAGTTTAGTACGCTATTTTTGTGGCTCTCTCAAGTACGTTTCTATCATGTATAAATAAACTCGATTTGTGTACTTGAGAAACCTATTTACTGGGTGCTTGTGGAATACACTTTCTACGCCATATCAAGACTTCTTCTTCTACTTAGTGGAGCCTTGGGACGCTCGGATTAGAGTAGCCTATTGTGTCACTGAATCATTTGTCTTAGCTCGCGTTTACCGACTAGGGTGAACTCGTAATAGTTTCATGCATATCAACTGACAAACATAACAATTAGCAGTAAACAATATTATTAATTAACGTCGACATAGCTTAGTTCTTTTACCAATGGATAACATTTACAATTTGTCTTTAACAATTTAACTACTAACTTTTAGTAAGTAATCTATCTCAAAGTATTGTCAATTTTGCATTTTTTCTATATCTGAAGCTTGACTGTGTTCCAAAAAATCTACTAACTAGACCTGCTTTTCATGTTTCTAACTAATTCCAAACAAACTTATTCACAAAAATTTAATAATCCACCTTTCTCACATCTACCATGTTTCTCAAAACAAAAAAATTTAATCATCTTGAAATTACTAAATACTTAGAAAAGTTATTTAGTCATGTATATCAACAAATCCACCGTAATACCACAAATGAATATGATTTAAAAGCCAATATAGCAAATTATATGCACTACATCTGTAATAAAATTAAAATATGAAAGTTTTCAGATTAAAAAAAAACGTAAATCCATATAATCTATGTAGAAATAGTGATGATTATTGATTAAAATATTAAATTCTAATCAATGAAGTCACTAAATCGATGACTTGTCTTCAGTAAACCTAATAGAATTAATTGTTAGTTCATAACTTTGCATCATCTAATCAGCTTACGTTGAAACAGTAGTGATTTGTGTAAATAAGCTGCAATTTAATCAGTCTTTCTACTGATGACAGATAATGATTGTGTGTAAGCTTCTTAAACTTAACTTAATGTAGCTACATTTGTCAATTGGCCGATAAAATTAGATCAGCATATAACTTTAGTTACTGTTTAATGATTGATTATTGTAATTATCTTAGTCGTAAGACCATTCACTCTACCCTTGAATAGTTCAATTGGCTCGAATTAACAAGGAGGTTATTTCGTTCAAGGTTACCGACGTCCATAATTTTTTAAGATATCCTGCCAATTATCCTTAACTATCTAAAATAGATTTCGTATACATAACGTACTTTGTTATCACCTGTATATCTGTCTTGTATAAACAGTTTACGACAACTTTTCTCTCTTATGAAGACTTATCTCCTTATTTTACAGTATCACTGAAGATCTGTTCTAACATAGTGTTCTTTCGGTATCTAAGACTCACATTAGACTAGTAAATGAACTAGGTTCATCACTTGGTATGCATTATTATCATTATAGACCATAAGTATTATCAAGAGAACTTCGTTTTTCATTAAAACACAACTGGACACTACGTTGGGCTCCTGCGCAAAGTTACAGTAATCAGTGGCTTATGTTTCAGTGAGATGCATGAATACAAAAAAAAGACAACACGTGACCTTAATCGAATTACTGTTTATCTGAAATACATCTCTCAACATATATTCTTATCTAATCCAAAATCATAAGCGAAAAGAATGTGTGGATGCTTTATATGACTTGATTCAACAACTTACTTGTGAAGCTTTCAGTGTTGGTTTATACAACTTCATCAGGAATTACCCTAATTAGATTGATTGACTAAAATTATAAGAAAAGCGTCGCAACTAAATCATGCGACACGTAGAACGCAAAACCACCATAAATATCCATCTAAGGTGCAAGTCCTCTCTCTCTCTCATTTTAGAATTACGGATTTACTCTAACTACATATAACGCCATGCATTGAAATGTGAAATAAAAGTCATTTCTATCACATCAGTAATCCACTTAAATTCTGATCTAGTCACTTCTTATCAACCTCAATATCAATCAAGTAGCTATTTTAAATCACTTGTCCAAGCAGACAATTTAAACGTATACCACTTATTGGTTAGAGACTTCGAATGACATAGCTCAAAATCGTTTTCAATGGCGCAGGTGCATCTATTCTTTGTGTTCTCCCAAATGTTTCCTCTGAGTTCCTCATGAACTTCATCTTTTTGCTCTCAAATTTATTTCACTGCGGTATGCTTCTTGAATGACATCTTGAAACCCTAATCTCTCCGATTACTGCTGATACTTTTACTACCTTTACCAATATGGGATTTGAATCGATAATTACATCTCTGGGCTAATGTCGTATGGCAACTTGAACTAATGTACGTACGTACAAGGTTCTACGTTATAACTGACTGACTGACTAACTGTACCACTAACGTACTACACACTCAAGCAATGAAATTTTCTTATCTCCACTACGTTATAACAATTTTGATGAACACTGTGGAAGGAAAAAGAAGAAAGATTGCTTCAGCATGCAGTTCTCTTTTCGACCAAATCATTTTTAAAGCTGTTGTACAATTACAAATATATAAATACTTTTTCAAAATAATAATAACAAGTATAATTATTATTCTAGTAACATAATAACATAGAGGTAGGATAAAAAACCAAATCGTAATTTTTTTCTTCCAGAAACTGAAGGTATAGCTATTATGTGCTTGAGTATACATCAATAAGATAGATAACTCCTATGAACTGTGAAAAGGTGGACTGTGTTCAGAAAGAGCATGAAAACGGAATTAAGTTGGTTAGATGTAGTAAAAAGCCATTTCAGACGAAACCGGGAAAGGAAATGGTAACTTTGGAGAAGAAGTGAAAGATTAAGACCATGGTTTTGTTTGTATACATAGTTTCGGCTTTTCCTGATATAAACTAAATACTTCGGCAGTATTAGAACGTTGGAGGCTCATTGTTTTTGGCAGCTTTCTAATTACGATGTAGATGCTTTGCCTGTTTTGATTAAACGACTTATATCCACAAGATTTTCAATTTTAGAGCTTCTTATCGATACCGTTTCCGCATAATGTTCTTAAATCCTCTAAAATTGAACTCATATTCAATGACTTAGCTCCACAAGAGTAGGTGAATTGATAACTACATACAGTAGACAATTGTTACTATTACTTTAAGCTGCATAATATTGATGTCTACTTTGTTTTATTGTATTAAAATTTATAGTAATAATAATAATAATAATAATAATAATAATAATAATAATAAATATTATCATTATTTTAGGATTGGAACCAGCTATATTTCGAGCAAAACATTTTGTTTTAAGATTATTTTATCGAGTTCCAGACGAAAGTTCATGTCAACAGTCTACTTCTGTTTGTTTGAATTCGTATCAAACACCTGCTCAATCATTTGACTTAAATTTATCATCATCATCATCACCTATGAAACAATTTACATCGTCAACTGGTATTAATGTAAGTTATATTTCTATAAAATTTATAAATAAAATTGAATTAAATCCATGTTGACAATAATTTACTTTGTATCATTTGAAAACTATTGTCTCTTTTTCTTTTTAATGCTGTTACGTGTGCTGTTATGGGTATGAGGGTCGATGTCACTTCCCGGTTGCCCATACCGTTGAAGGGTGTTTTTGAGGAACCTGAAAAGGAAGGTAGATTAGTGTTGGCCTTAGAGACCTGGGAATGTGACCACAGAGCCCAAGGGACAACTACTTGAGGCCGGTCACGCACAGCCTTGTTTAAAACGCCTTACCGCCGGAGACGGAAATCCGTGAGTAAGGTGAGGTTGATATTTTTACGGTCGACGTTTCCTAACCCTTCCTTCCTTGTGAGAAGGCAGCAGATGTTGGTTGTCTGAGGGAAAAACCTTACTGCTGTCAGACCTATCTACAGTCAGCAGTACGAATTCGTCCTCAGACTTTAAGTCTCGACCGTAGCTGCTACCTTGACGTGGTGGTCGGGCTTGCCCATAATGATGACCCAACCGAGCTATACTGGCTGGAACATATGTTCCTGAAGGTTCTACCATGCTAGGCAGGTCGATTGAAGAACGATGAGACTAAAAGCAGCTACCCAGGGTCTGAGGGCGAAGTCGTACTGCTGACTGCAGAGGGGTGTGACAGCAGTAAGGTGTTTCCCTCAGACAACCAGCATCTGCAGCGATGCTGCCTTCTCACAAGGAAGGAAGGGTGCATTTATTCTTTATGTTCCCTCAAATCCTAATCTTCTGGATTCTTCAACACCTCTAGTTTTGACTTTCTAAACTTTTCTCACTGAATCATACTTCCTGAATAATATCTTCTAAGCCTAACCTCTCCGATTACTCCTAATACCCTTACTACCTCTTCTACTTTTGGATTTGAATTGACAATTATATCTCTGTGTCGATAAGGTATGGCAACATGAACTGATGTACTTACGTACAAAGTTCTACGTTGCATCTGACTGACTGACTGACTCAGACTTTAAGTCACTGGTTTTGGTCTCATCGTTCTTCAATCGACCTACCTGGCATGGTAGAACCTTCAGGAATATATGTTCCAGCCAATGTAGTTCGGTTAGGTCATCACGATAGGCAAGCCCGACCACCATATCAACGTGGCAGCTGCAGTCGGGCTTTTCTAACGCTTTACTTGTTTATTTCTATCAACATTGATAATTTGATTTAACCGTGGTGTTTAGCGTCGTCTATTTAATTAATCTCTAGGAAAAAGATTAGATATTTTTATTGGTTTGATTATTGGTTGACAATTTTTATACGATAATATTGAATAATGATCATGTGTGTGGTTGTTGTTCTTGTAATTTCTTATGTGTGAAAATCAATTCATAACTCTGTTCTGTGGTGAAATGAACCTACAAGTTATATTGCTTACTAGTTTTTTTTTCACTTTTAGTCTTTATTTCTAGTTTTTGCTATTAAGCTCATCGATTAAATGTTCAATCAAGTGAATCTCAACAAACAAATCATTAACGTCTCTTTATAAATCTTCCTTTTTTCAATATTGAATATTTTTTAAGTCAATCATTATTCCTATAACTGAGAATGCATATAGAACCCCTTTATTCCAGTTCATTTTTATTCTCAGAAAGACTTGATTTACTACTTGTAGGATAATTTTTCAATTATAATCAATCATGTAAGTTTGGTTAAGTGATAAAAAAACTACCAAAAATAGACTGATCATTTACAGACCTCAACATCATTTGGAAAGAACCGAATAACGTAAATGAATAAATAAATACTTACAATATTGTACGAGCCAATAGCTGTCTGAACTTCATAGCTTAGTTGATAGAGTAAACGGTACTAAGTTCGACTCTCAGAGTGAAAATCAACTCTGGAATGCAGTTACATCCAGCTGAACAGTCCCGAGTGGAATGAAACACCTGTTCTGCGCCCTATTCCTAGCCACAATCTCACTATGCTCAGATAGTCAGTCAGTCAGATGCAACATAGAACTTTGTACGTAAGTACATAAGTTCATGTTGCCATACCACATCAGCACAGAGATGTTACTGTGAATTCAAATCCAGTAGTAGAAGAGGTAGTAAAGGTATTAGAAGTAATCAGAGAGGTTAGGATTAGAAGATATTATTCAAGAAGTATGATTCAGTGAGATAAGTTTAGAAAGACAAAGGTAGAGGTGCTGAAGAATCCAGAAGATTAGGATTTGAAAGAGCATAACGAATGGATGCACTTGTGCCATTTCAAACGATTTTGAGCCATGTCGTTCAAGGTCTCTAACCATTGGTGACTTTCGTCTCACGGACCCCAACCAGGTAGTCTACATCTACCAACATGACTCAGTCCACTTGTCAGTGACTTCATGGATTTGTGCCATGTTTTGTTCTGGCCTCCCCCAGCTTTCTTCCAACCTACTCCTGCACCACAGAACATAGCTCGTCGAGGCAGTCGGTTGTTAGGCATTCTTAACACATGTCCCAACTACCTCAACTGATGAAGTTTCAACACTTCATCTATTGATCTGCTTAGTCACACACTATTGTTTAGAATTCCAGAATCAATAATTTTAATTTCCAAAACTTTAACTCTAATTTATTATCTAAACATTTATCCTACTTTATATCATTACCAAAAAATACTTTCAGATTGTTACATACTTAATGCATGTATACTCTGTTACAGTTTCAAAGGGCATAATTCGATGAGGAATATTTTTCTTAAATTTCTTTTCATTGATTTTTCAACCCGTTCCATTAAACTAGTATGTGTTGGACCGAACAAACGAACAAACAGAAATATAACAGTTTTCTAAATGTTCAATGATAATTAAGTGTAGTAAGATGAAGCAAGATTCTGTAACTAATTTATAGGCGTAATGGCAGTCAACAGAAGTTACAAACGAATTAACTTTAGTGTGTAAACTATCAATGGTGGCTTAGACTTTCGTAAACGAATTAATATTTCATAAAATATTCATGTGCACATAGGTTTATTAAGCACAAAAACCACTGCAAGTAAATAATTTACATACTATTGTGTATAAAATTGTTGATAAAAGTCTTTCTAATTCTACAACATATACTGTCCATTTCTAGAATTACAATAACGAATATATACTACTGAATGAAATATTTAGTAGTTAAACAATTTTCCCCAAATCAAACTTTTAGTATCGATTGGTTATCAGTTCTGAATCATAACTTGACAAATTTACTCCCAATTGAACTGCTAGTGTTTATGAGTTTACTTTTTTTTACAAATTTATATAAATATATAACTTATATCACTGGATCACTTTAGCACAACCAAACTGTTGGGGATGTTAGATTCCCAAATCTCGCTCGATAAATGCCTTGATTTTAATGTGGATATTTCTATTCTGATTAGTGATACTCTTAGTATACGTTTTAATTCAATATCTTTTCCTACATAATTTATGAACTGTCTGGAACGTTAGATCCCCAGAACTCACTTGATACATATCTTAATTTTGGATTTTATTAGTGGGATGATCACTTGAGACCACATTTCCTACCAGGAAATTCTTTGGCTGTGATTGGTTGATGTGTTATTTTAGTGTGCTAGTTTTGTGACATTCCCAAAGACATCTCTATGATGCATAAATAAACTCGATTTGTGTGTTTGAGATCATTGTACTTGCTGGGTGTTTGTCGAATACACTTTCTACGCTATGTGAAGACCTCTCGTTAGTATTTTTGGGTCAACGGATCAGAGTAGCCTACCTGGACGCTGGTTCATTGTCTCGTTCTCGTTTATCGACTAAAGTGAACCCTCAATAGTTTTAAACATACCTATCAAAGGAGTGTAACATTAACTCACCTCAAAACTAAGTTCCTAAGTTCTACATCATATAGACAAAGTGAATTTGCACTCCTGAGGAGTACCAAACCAGGATTTTACCTTTTATTTAGCATTACTTAATGCTTTAAATTTTCTCTGTTTGATATACATCATCAGTGAGATGAAAAAGATTTGTAGTCCACGAGAATCACTTTGATAAACTTCCATTCTCTGGGCTAATTGATTCAATCATAACTATTTCACAATCTTTCCATAAAACTTTAATATAAATTTTATAAAGAGCGTTGAGCAAAAATACGGTGGGGGGCGGTTGGAGAAATTTCTCCAAAGAAATCCAATCATTATCCTAACTCGGTATGTGGTAAATATTAATAGGGCATGATCCATTTTAATTAGGGTGTTTGGATAATATTGCTAGTATACTCATAGGAGCATCAGTGCTGATGGCCTGGCGACTGACGAAATCTCAGCTCGGATACAGAAGGCTCGATTAGCTTTTGCGAACCTGCGTCACTTATGGCGTAGGCGAGATATCCGTTTGCTGACTAAAGGACGAGTGTACTGTGCACCAGTTCGCTCCGTTCTCTTATATGGCTGTGAAACATGGCCAGTGAGAGTAGAAGATATTCGTAGGTTACTGGTTTTCGATCATAGGTGTCTTCGAAGCATTGTTTGTATATCGTGGGACAACCGAGTAAGCAATGCTGTCGTTAGGAAACGAGTACTAGGGTAAGGATGGCAGATCAGTAGATGAAGTATTTAAACTTCATCAGTTGAGGTGGTTGAGACATGTGTTGCGTATGCCGAACCACCGACTGCCTCGACGAACTTTGTTTTTTGGCGTAGGAGTAGGTTGGAAGAAAGTTAGGGGCGGCCAAATCAAAACATGACACAGATCTATGAAGTCATTGACGAGTGGACTGAGCCATGTCGGTAATTGTCGACTACCTGTTTGGGGTCCGCGAGATGATAATAATCGATGGTTAGAGACCTTGAATGACATGGCTCAAAATCGTTCGCAATGGCGCCGGTGCATTTATTCTTTGTGTTCTCTCAAATCCTAATCTTCTGGATTCTTCAACAACTCTAGTTTTGACTTTCTGAACTTTTCTCACTGAATCATACTTCTTGAATAATATCTTCTAATCCTAACCTCTCCGATTACTTCTAATTCCCTTACTACCTCTACTACGATTGGATTTGAATTGACAATTATATCTCTGTGCTGATTTGGTATGGCAACATGAACTGATGTACTTACATACGAAGTTCTACGTTGCATCTGACTGACTGATACTCATAGGAGCGTTGTAACTTAAAGTCCAGTATGTATAAGTATGTATATGCCTGCTTAATACGGCACTGTTGTTGTTTTTTCTTCAAATCAAATCAAACTGTCATAGAAATCAAAAGTAACTTCTTATGAAAAAATGCAATTTATTTCTTTGTTGTTTATTTTGAAAAAAAAAAACAAAACAAACTAATTAATTATCTTGAATATCTCATTACTCAATAATCCATTAGCATTAAACCAATGATCAATATTGTCTAGTCACTACACCATCCAGTTCTACAGAACGTGAAGCACAATGAACATTATGCTTTCACACTGTGAATGTGAAATCAGTCTATGAAAATCTATTAAAATTAGGTGTAATATGTGATCATTATAGACTGCCGAATTTTATGCGTATTACACCGACCGATACCATTGTATAATAGTTTTGAAGATGTTTACCTATTTGTACAATGTCTTCGTTGTATTCTTCTAGTAGTACACTTAAAGTCCAGTGTATCAGTATGTATATACTTGCTTAATGGGAGGGGCGGGGGGGGGTACTGAAAAGTCAGATACCAAATCAAACTGTCCTAGAAATCAAAAGTAACTTCTTATGAAAAAAATTTTAATTTATTTCTTTGTATTTTTTTTTTGAAAATAAAAACTACATAAAATAAAATTTATTCTAAGAGTCACATAGAACATGACGAAGACGCTGTACAAATAGGTAAACATCTTCAAAACTATTATACAATGGTATCGGTGTAATACGTAGAAAATTCGGCAATCTATAATCACATATTACACCTAATTTTAATAGATTTTCATAGATTTCTTTTACATTCACCTGATGAAAGCACAATGTTAATTGTGCTCCACGTTCTGTAGAACTGGATGGTGTAACCAGACAATATTGATCATTGTTTAATGCTAATGGACTATTGGTGATGAGATATTCAAGATAATTAGTTAGTTTGATTGATTTCTCACGTAAATTATTCATACCACCACATAATTTGACAATATTAATACTGACTGTTAAAGTTGCAGCTAATAATAATGGTGGATTAGACAAACGATAAGCATCAGCACCTTTAGCTAGCTCCATATGTCCAGTCATATTGAATCGTGTTTCATTACGATGACTCCACCAACCGGTCAGTTGAGGACCAGATACATCAATCATTATCATATCATTACTACTATCCCTGTTCGATTTATTTATAGTCGGTCCATAACTTGATTCTTCATGATGATATTTTTCATGAATAAACAATCCTCCCAATGCACCAGGACTTCCATTCAAATATTTATATGAACACCATACAGCCATGTCAATATTCCAATCATGCAAATATAATGGAACATTACCAATAGCATGAGCTAAATCCCATCCTACTGGACATTGACAATAATGATGACCCCATTGAGTAATTAATTTCATATTAAATAATTGTCCTGTAATATATTGTATACCTGGTAACCAAATCAATGCAATTCTATGTTGATTTTTTTGTATTGTTTGTAAAATATCTTCATTTCTTAAACAATATTCCTCTGCACGTGGTTTCATTTTAATTATACAATCGATTGGATTTAAACCATGCCAATGAATTTGTGATTCTAATGCATAATAATCACTTGGAAAAATGTCATCTTCAATAAGAATACATTGTTTCTCGCCTTTTGGTCGATAGAATTTTGCTAATAATGTATGCATATTCACTGTTAAATTACAAGTGATCGCTACTTCATGTGGTTTGGCATTGACAATCCATTGTGCACAATCCATGGATAATTGTTGATCACAGTGAGATGCTGGCAATTCACCATAATGATAAGCTAACACGCCTAAATTACTCCATTGATTTAATATACTAGTTAAATAAGCGTGTAAACGTTTTGGTTGTAATCCCATGGAATGACCACAAAAGTAGATAATTTGTTTGGTATGATTTGTGGTATCATTTTCAGTAGTAGTAGTAGTAGTTATCGGTTGATTATATTCTGTTGGATTTGTATAGATTGTTTTCATTACTTCATCATAGTTGGGTAAATGAAATTCTGATCGATACGAGCGTAATACATCATGCTCGTCTAATTTGATGGCGAAATCGATTGAATTCAAATCCACTTGATATTGATTCGCTAAAGAGTTTAACTCTTCCATTAAACTGGACATTATTGTTGTTGTTGTTGTTGTGAAACAGGAATCTAGAATAACTGTATTATACTTTTTTGATTTATGTACATTTATGTCTATCGGAATGAAACTATCTGATTGGTTGTTTACTTGAGCCTTTAAAAATCAATCATAACTATATTAGTAAATTAAGTAGTATATTTCAAGGCATTGAACTGAACTGAACTGTTCAATACAACTTAGAACTTAGATTAGTTGCTCTAAATACAAAATCGGTCAATTCGGGTTTATAATTTAATCGGATTTATGCTCTTGTTTTTTTGTGTAGTGTAGTAGAAACATTGTTTATAGTGTAATGTTTTCAAACTACTTATTTTTTTTAAAACTTAGTTTCCTTTTGATTACAGTCTTCCATATTGTTTCACGTCTAAAAATGATTGAATTCCTAGTGGTTAAACGTCTAGTCGAATAGTAAATACTACTCATTTGATTGGTAGATAGATAAATAGATCGATAGATGAATCAATAGAAGCTTCTCCTTAATTGTTACTTTCATCTCACTAAATTACTTGTCTAATAAGGAATTCTCTATACAATCAAACGTTCACATGAATGTATACGCCATGAATATATTTTAAATGTGTTAACTTCCCAATAAATTCTTCACTAGTAATTTATATTACAACTGAAATATGTTTAGGGATGATGAATGTTTGTTATTCTTGCTTGACCTAGATTAGTCAACCTATCATTCTGACTTCATCATCACCTCACTTGGCCAATCTGTTATTGTAATTGAATGTCACAAACTTTAACCCTAGGCGCACATTATATAATGATAACTAAAATAGTGACTTTTAAATAGGTTACAAAAACTTGAGTGCGTTTATGCATGTGTTTATTGTTATACATTTTTGAAACCATGAATCGATCAATGTTAGACCACCATTAGAAACCTGGGAGCACTGAAACACGGCTGTTTCGTCCTGGTATGGGACTCATCAATGGCAGTGCGCATCCACGACTCCTGCACCCCGCAGGATTCGAACTCGGGACCTTCGGTATTGTGAGCGAACGCCTAGCCATCGGACCACTGAGCCGGCGGTATCTAACAGACGTCAATAAAGTGGCAATGAATTAATTGGTAGGAAATCAATAGAATGATTATGGCAAAAAGTATTAGTCGATTATTCTGCTACAAGATTCTATGATGTAATGAATAAACATGTATTCAAGAGTTTGTGAGAAATGAAGAAATAAACCTGGCTGCACTTCTGTTTTCTTTTCAATCAAGTGACTGTTAGAAAATTGATCCCTACCGTCTTGTAGACTTTTTCCCACGAAATGCATCATGTTCTGTCGGTTGCTTCACTAGAAATTTCGGTGTACTGTTCTGTGATTTCTACCGAATGATATCTTATATTTCAATTTACCTTTAGAAATTGTATATATGGTAGTCATTCCTCTCACCAACCACTTCGCTCTCTAGATTCACAATACGGGTCAATGGAGATTAGTTCTGATGTGGTGGATGCCACTGACAATATTACTCATAAGTAGTATGTGGCAGGATGTCACGTGGAGATTGCTACGGTCGACAACTGAAGACAATCGTTTCAGAAGATCAAAAGCACGGCATATTCTGAACGTTTTGAAGATCAGGATAGAAACGAGTGAAGAAAACCTAGGACCAACTTGGATTGCAGTGTACTCCACAAGATGCAATTGCACAACTGAAAACTAGGTCTTTCCTACTAAATGAGTCCTTTGTATTGAGGAGGTCTTTCATTAATAATATTTGGATTAGATTAAGGTGTAGATTCATATGTGGGTGTGTGGTAGAGAAACAGGTGAGTACTTAAAAATGTTGGCAAAGCAAGCGCTGCAGTTCTACAATTGGAGAACATCTGGAACTCAAAACAAATATCAACCAACACCAAAATCAGAATTTTCAATACAAATGTCAAGACAATTTTACTTTATGGGGCGGAAACTTGAAGAACTACAAAAACCATCATCCGAAAGATACAAGTATTTATTAACGGTGGTCTATGCAAAATACTGAGGACCCGTTGACCAGACACTATCAGCAACAACCTACTGTGAGAGAGAAAAACAAGATCCCGGTTGATGAGGAAATCAGGAAGAAGCGGTGGAATCGGATAGGACACACACTATCAAAAGTAGCCAACTGCGTAACAAGACAAGCCCTCACTTGGAACCGTCACGGTCAAAGGAAAAGAGGAAAGCCAAGGAACACAATACGCCGAGAAAGAGAAATATTATGAGGACTACGTTTTAATAGGAATAGTTATGGACAAAAAATGTTTCCTTAAAATTATCTCATTCCAGTCCATTTGGTTTGTTATTGATGCATTAATGATCACTATGTGATGTGTTATTGTTTTGAAAATTTGCCTTTTCAAAATGAAGGGATGAGAATTGCTAAAGATGTTTTTTATTGATTTTTTTTTCTCTCTCTCTCTCTCTATTGTACAAATTTACAGACTTCCAGTCACAATAACCAAATATCTCGAGCAGATACTTTATTTAATCGTATAGCTCATGTCTCCACGACAAGTTTCCTTGGGACCGAAAACAAAGCAAACAACGATCAACAATACAAACCGATACTTCCAATAGGTCGTTCAAATTCAGAAGAACGCTGTTCAGAAGAGCATGAAAGAAATATGAGTAGTGGTAGTTATTCTGCTACTGGCGGCAATGTTGGTGAGAACAACACCAATTCGGGAATACGTAATTTCAAACAAGCAATTAAAATCCCCAAAGCTACATATCAATACCTTGAGTTTCTTCAACCAGATACAAGACTTTTTAATAAAGTTTTAGTACCTGTTCCATCGGGTGATGAAACATTACAAGCATTAAGAGTGGTAGCGTCAACAATTGTTATAGCACTTCATTCAGTTGGTAAGTATTTTCTGTTGCTTATATTTTTTTTATTTGATTATAGATTTATAATTTAATTATTTCTTGTGATATATTTTCTATATCTGTTTTGTTTACACCATTCAGCCCCTATGTATGTATGTCTCTGATTTTAACCACCGACTGTCTCGACGAGCTGTGTTTTGTGGTGTAGAAGTAGGTTGGAAGAAAGCCAAGGGCGGCCAAACTAAAACATGGCAGAAATCCATGAAGTCACTGACAAGTGGACTGAGTCATGTTGGTAGATGTAGACTACCTGGTTGGGGTCCGCGAGACGATAATAGTCGATGGTTAGAGACCTTGAACGACATGGCTCAAAATCGTTTGCAATGGCGCGAGTGCATCCATTCGTTGTGCTCTCTCAAATCCTAATCTTCTGGATTCGTCAACACCTCTACCTTTGTCTTTCTAACCTTATCTCACTGAATTATACTTCTTGAATAATATCTTCAAACCCTAGTCTTCTTCATTACCATTAATACTTCGACTATCTTTATCACTGTGGGATTTGATTTTAGATTTGCGTCTCTGTGTTAATGTGGTATGGCAACATGAACTTATGTACATACGTACGAAGTTCTTACGTTGCAACTGACTGACTGCACGGGACTCATCAGCAGTGTGCATCCAACGAACCCCGACTGTCACAAATCAAACCCCAAGACCTTCAGTCTTATTGATTGGTTTGGAAATTTTCTCTTGATCATCACTCACAAAATTGTGTAACCAGTTATTCGACTAAGATAACAATTATCTATCAAGTTGAGAATTATAAAATCTCATGTAAAAGCAAACTTGATAAATTTTAGAGGTTTTCAAAAGAATCTATAGTAACTCTAATATTCTTTTTCATGGTATCTAAAACTACCGTAACTGCGTAATGGCGCTGTTTCTACTATTTGCTTCTCCAAATTCACTAAGGATTCTTTTTAACCGTGATTATATATCTTGTCTGTTGGAAAGACTTATACGTAGGCAGTAGAAGAAGAGTTATGTCTTACAAGAAATATACAATCAATGAATTATTCATGTTATGCTAGTCACTTGATATGCTTGAAACTATTACGAGTTCACCTTAGTCGATAAACGAGAACGAGACAATAAACCAGCGTCCAGGCAGGCTACTGTGATCCCTTGACCAAATTGTACTAGCAAGAAGTCTTGATATAGCGTAGAAAGTGTATTCTACAAACACCCAGCAAGCACACAAATCGCGTTTATTTATACACCATAGAGACGTCCTTGGGAGAGTCACAAAAATAGCACACTAAAGTACACAATAACCAATCACGGCCAAGGATTTTCCTGGTGGGAAATAAGGTTTCAAGGTCAACTGATCAGCCCATGCTCGGAGACATAAAATCCAAAATTAAGATATTCATCAAGCGAGTTCCGGGGATCTAACATCCCAAAACAGTTCGTAAACTATGTAGAGAAAGATATTGAATTAAAATGGACACTAAGAATAGCACTAATCCGATTAGAAATATCCACATTAAAATAATATTTTCACTTATCAGTCATGACCCAGAATGCAAACTAGTGAACACACTCTAGTAAAGTTGGATAGTCACTAGCGATGAAATCTATCTACATCTATTTCGTCTTATTTGAAACTCGTCATCTGCATGCACGTGTATTACAGCTCAGTGTTGATGTTTCCAATTTATTTCAGCACCAACAATGGCAAGATACAATTCATTTACTAGTACTGGTGATTCTGTCGTAGTTTTCTATTAAGATCTTCATAAAGGGGAAGGTAACTGTCGACTGTATATGTGTTGTGTGTTTATACATACATATTGAAAGTCCCAAACAAACCATCCGTCTCACGTTCAAAGTGTAGGAAGATTTCAAATAGAACTGATAACATAATTGAATCAACTCTAAGACAAGCTTCTCTGTAGTTCAACTATTCTCGATGAGTAAAACACCATGACCCTACTGAGGCCATCTTCAAATGTATCAATGAATTTATTTTTTACTTGTGAAAGCAAGCACATATAGTCAGAACTGGAAAGTAGAGCATTTACAAAGTTTTCCAAACATATCCATCGTACTTGAAAGTGAAAAAAATTACTTGTCCGAATCAGTCCCTGTAACAATTAAACAATATTATCTAATAGTTGGAAATCATGCTTCTGTTTTAACAGCAGTCAGTTTTCAACACAATGAGTTCTGCAGGTGAAAACTGTCAATTCGAAGAACTGTGTGTTAATGACGCCTACTTTGATGATATATTATGTGGTATGAAAACAGCTGTTATTTGGCGGGAGTAACTATGACTCTCTTAAGGTAGCCAAATGCCTCGTCATCTAATTGAATGGGTATATTAGATGACGCTCATAAATGGAGACTTTTGGGGTTGTGGTGGCGGCTAACTCTTCGTGCTCCTGCCAGGCAACGTGGTGTTGTTTACAGCGCTGCGGCCAAAAGCCGTTCCAAACGCTTAGGATACCGTGTCTTGCATGGTCCAGAATAATGGTACGTGTTCATGGTTGCAAGGCCGTGGATGCGGTTCGCCACTCTGGTGGATTAGGACCGAACGTCTTTAAGTCTGGATCCCGTCCACTGAGCGTAGGTAAATTAGAAATAAAGGGATATAGCTTTTCAGCATTCTTGAAGGTGGCCGTAGACGATTTGTTTGTGGAAGCAGCCGTAAAGATTCTGGACTATTGAGGCCGACCCTATGTGGTTGTCCCAAACACCAGAGTGTATTGTATAAACTGGTGTCGAGGCCCCTTAAACAAGGGTTTCCAGTTGGGTTATGTGATCCAGTGCTGAAAGGGCACTGGACGCCAATGATGTCTGCCCACTTATGTAGTGGGATTAGCCCTGCTTGGCTGAGTGCTTGCGCTTGGTCGAGTTCGTGACATCTACCCCATGAGATGGTGTACGTTCCGGCCGACCTTGTGGGACAAACTCGATCTTTAGCTTGATGCGGAGTTTGGGGCTCCGATCGATTGTATTAGCGCAAGGCAGTTGGGGGCCAGACGGTTGGAACGGCTGCTGGGTGGCTCGGTAATCCGCTTCCGGGTGCCAGATCTAGTTGAGAAAGCCCGCCTTGCTGCACTTGCCGATTGGGGATTGTGGGTAGTGGATTGGTTGGAGGGACCGAGTTGATCCATAAGTCCCCGAATGGGGGCCACTTCTCGTGTGCGTGCTTTTCGGACGTCCACTTGTCTGCAGACCAATCTAGACAACATGTGCGTTCCCGTATATGGGGCAGGGGTGATCGCAAAATTGGCATTTGTGAGAATCCTTGTGTTGCCTAAAAAGCAGCAGCGTGGATGTGCAGCAAGCAGGCTTGTTGGTTAACCAAGAATATGTTATTTAATACATCTGAAATATAATTTTCTTTTTCCTCAAAACTTACCTGTTAGAAATCTTTCATATATACTCTAATTACTTAAATTATTTACATTGAATGACCTAAATTGTGTAGATTTGTTTTGTAATCTGTTTGACCTGAATATATAAGAATGTCTATCAAAAAAAACAAAACAAGATTAATGTATACGAACGACTGATTTCAGATTGGCATTAACTACAAGAACTATTTCATAAGACCTAGTTTTATAAAATCGAACAACAAGGCCTAGATGTGTATGTGTATTTTTTGTAATGCCAACCTGAAATATTTTTATACAGAGCGCACAATATACAACGCACAATACTTATTAGAATTAAAATCAGATACTTCGACATTCTTAAACTAAATTTGGTAATTTTATGAAACAACTGTCTGTGTTGATCTGAGATGAAATGATCCGATATTTTACAAAAGAAATGAAAATCTAAGCATGATGAACACTGTTTCTAAATATGTGCAATTATTATTTTTTGTGACTATCAGTTAATATGTACTCAAATAAAAAGTCACAAAGAATCATTTTAATGAATTTATTGATCTAACTAACAACGATGGTTAGTATTCTTAATTAATGTAGGCCATATTTGGTTTAAAAAAATCCTTTCTGTTCGTCTAATCAACGGAATTTTAATAATTTTCATCAATATTGATCTGTATAATGAAAATTAGAGAAAGTTTTTCCATACTGGGTGCGGTGCACTTTGGTTTTATGAAAAAAAAATAGTCAGATTACATATGACAACCAGACGAAAAACAGCATGAATATTACATAAGATATGTCTTTGTATTTCTTGGTGTAACTTAAATGTGTTTGTAGATAACTGGAAACTGCATTGTCTGGCCTTAATTGAAGATGTCAGGTAGCTCATACAGGTATCACACGAACGACTGATCTAGTACGACAAAGTGCTTATTGGCCAGGCATGAGAGACGATGTGGCACGATATGTGTTGACTTGCCAGCGGTGCCAACTAATGAAAAGTAATCGATACATACAGCCGCCATCGCAGTCAGTTCCCGTAACTGCAGTTGGTGATCTATGGTCAGTGGATGTGATGGGACAGTTCCCGCAGACGGCAAGCGGCAATCAATACCTGGTGGTGATGACAGAACATGCCACACGGTGGGTAGGCGCCGTACCAATTCCACATTAGCGGGAAAAAACAGTGACGGAAGTAGTCATCCGGCACATTGTGGCATGTCACGGAACACCGAAAACAATATTAACTGGTCAGGGTCCCTGTTTTGAAAGTGACGAGTTTAAGTCCCGTCTGGAACAGTTCGGTATCAAGAGAATACGAACTACACCATATCATTCACAGACTAACGGGCTTACAGAAAGAAACAACCGGTCGTTAAAGGAATGGTTAGCCTCTAAAGGAGGGAATTGAGAGAAGGAATTACCACTAATCTTGCTGGCGCATCGTGCCTCAATACAAGGAACAACCAAGAAATCACCTTTCCTGTTTATATACGGGAGACATCTGCGACTTCCAATGCACAATAAGACATGGCCGCAACAACAGAAGTGGATGGCAGCAAGGTTAAAGAAGGAGAGGAGGGAGGCAGTCAGAAATATAAAGAAGAAACAGATGTTGCACAAAACGACAGAGCAGCAGAGTAGGCAGTGGAAGCCGTTTAAAGTCGGGGATTTGGTAAAATGTAGAGAACGGAAAGGCACCGTAGCATGGGGACAAGGATCAAGGAAGCTTCTCCCGAAATGGGAAGGACCGTACATTGTTATTGAGAGACGTGGCTCTGTGTTTACACGATACGGAGAGGGGACAACCAAAAACGCGTGAATGCTTGTCAACTTCAGAGATGGTTTCAAGGGCAGAATGAATGCGAATCGCAAACGGTAATCAAGAAAATGGGACCATGGCAATCGGAAAGACTGCGAAAACAACTTATTAAAAGGGGGGACGAGTGTGGTGTACGGAAATCAAACGTCTGACAGCAAAAGATCGAGAAGGAAAGTATGAGAACAGAAGGCGATGTGTAGATAACGTAAAGTGAACTGAAGTCTGAACAGTCTAAATGTTAGTGTTATAAAGCCACTGAATGATGAATGAATGTTACGAGACAAAACAACTAGTCTTTCAAATTCATCTAATAAAATAACAAACTTAGTCAGAAAGTATTTCATTTATAACAAAATGTTCTGTAGTTCACTGATAGTCAAATGCATTTAGGGCTTTACACTAACAGATTTGATTTCAATCTGTCAAAATACCACTCATAATCATATCGATCTTTAACAATCTACAATAGATATGAAATTGGTCTACTCATTTTAGAAGTTGTTGATTTACCATTGAAGACGAAAGTAAATCTTCTCACTGTTTGCTTAGAAGGAATTCGATTGTACTATGGAAAAGTTTTTTACCGAAAATAAAATAACATAATCAGAACATTCTGAATATGAGCCGCCTTCCATGTACGACTTATCAGTGCACCCCTTTGTAAGAATTCTTTATGATGTTGACAATGTCAGGTACATCACTGCTATATTAGTAAGAAGATTAGAGTAATGGTAACTTCCAAGACTGATTGATGGACTATTGTTGTGCATAACCTTATTGTCTAATCATATATATATATATATATATATATATATATATATATATTCCTTTTATCATGATCTTTCAATTTACTAATTGACTATTGTCGCATGATTTATTATCCTGAATCTATTGATAGCCTATTATTTACAGTTTCCCCTATCCACATTCACTTGAAGCTTGCTCATATATAAATGTATTTGCGTCTTTTGTGGTGTGATGCGCGATCTGGTATGTTTGGTATACAAACTATGTCTGTTTGAAATATGACCAATTGTGTGGAGTTTAACATACGGACATGTGGATTAAAAGGCAGGGTAGAAAGAAATCAGCTATGGAGTTGTGGACCAATAAGGATTTAGAACCGAGTCATCGTCTCTGATGCCAACGTAATCCTGATTGGTGTTTTGTATTTGTCACGTCACATTGGTCAACGGTTGGGAATGCAACAACCAGTGTTAATAAAGCCTGCACAAGGTTCTGTCCACCTTGTCAAATGCGTTCTGACAGTTAAGGAAGCTGAGCAGTTGATTGCTCAGTAGTGATCAATAGTATCGCAGTTTGTTTGCTACATGATCGATCCCTATAAAAGTCAACATTTTGATCTCAGTCAAGAAATACCACTATTTTGGGACGTCTGGACGTGTGTCTATGTTCTAAGGCCTGACGAAGTGTGAATATCTGGTTTGTAAAGCCACGTCCAGGTTTGAAACCAGCCTTGTTTTCTCGAGTCTGCTCTTCACAAGCTTTAATTAGGCGTCTAAGTATTATCGATGCTAATATTTTGGACATTATAGACTGGGACCCTCAGTGATTGAGACTAGTCAGGGGAGATTACGTCCAGTTGCCAAATTCTACTTGAAATCTCAGTTAATCACTAGTGCTCAATGTAAAACAACGCTTTCTATAATACTAATATGAAAATCAAATATGTACTCATTAGTGACTAGCTTCGTGAGGTCCTCAGAGTTTTAGTGAAATGGGAAGACGTTATCAGTGGAGTTCAACCCTACCGAAGACAATTGATGATGTTACGCAAAATCGTTAGGTTGATCAGAGTTGAACACTAGAACCTTTGGGTGTTGGCTCAGTGGTCCAGAGGTCTAAGTGTTTGCGTGCAAGACCGAAGGCTCTTGGTTCGAATCCTGTGAGTAGCAGAATTCGTGGGTGAGCACTGCTGATGAGTCTCAAGCCAGGAACAAACGGCCGTCCCATGCTTCCAGGTTTCTAATAGTGGTCTGACGATGATTCATTCATGATTTCAATGTAAAACAACAATCTCCATAATATTCTAATGCAATAATCGTCTTAAATTTAGACCTTTATTTCCAATGAATTGTTTGTTAATCTGTTTATACAATGCTCCAGATACTATCGAAAGTCAAGCCATTTTTTGGAAAGGGACTGAATTTTCTTTTTATTTTTGCATTTGTTGGTAATCAATAGTTTTAAGAAATTGATAGGGCAGACTTTCTGTCTTATTAAGAAAATACACAATTTCACCCTACAGCAATCAATCAATATGTGAAGTGTTTAAAAATGCTAATTTTTATTCGTTCTTCATTATCCAACATATTATTACTGATATTTCAAAACTTAGTAGGTAAAACTTTTTTTTTGGGGGGGGGGAATTCTTTACGTATTGTTGACCTGGAGTACAACTGGTCACCAAGGAGCACTGAATAGATCTTTCGTCCGATTACTAAACTATTATTACACAGTGGGCATCCACAACACATTCAGCCATCTAACTAAGTTCTAAATCAGAGTTCGATAATATTCGCGGTGATGTAATCACGACCGGATGATCATTGCATTATATCGCTAATCGGAAGTCAATCCAAGTGGTCTTTCCTTTGATCCTGAGTCTTGAAATATCCCTATACTTTTATTGTTTTTAAATTTAGTTTTCTGTATTGCCGATACTGTTACTACTTCCACTCTGCTATTTGTCTTGGTAATTTTATTTTAGTTTGCTAATATGATGTAGCATCTTGAGCTGACCTCTCCATGTCAAGATAAAGAAGCAACTCGATTTACCCTTCGGGTATCCGGTAGCCCTGATGCTGCTTCCCGGGGTCTCGCTGGTGTAGGTCTAGCATTGAGTCGTAGGGCAGAACAGTCTCTCCTTGACTGGATCCCTGTAGATAGTCGCTTGTGCGCCGTCCGACTAAACGGGACAGTAAAGATTCGAAAGGATAGGGACACTCGTCGTTGCCTCTTCGTCATATCAGCTTACGCCCCCACTGACTGCAGTCCAAACGATGTGAAAGATGAGTTTTACAGAAAGCTTTCGTACCTCCTCCGAAAAGTTAAGCGCTATGATATAGTTATAATGGCTGGTGACTTCAATGCTCAAGTAGGTAGACTAAGTGAAAATGAAAGACACCTAGGTGGATGTTATGGTGTCGCGGCTCAAAGAACAGACTGATGTAAATAGATGCAAGTTTGCATTCTACATATAACAACTGACTGGCTATTGGTTGAACACTCCCTCCAAACTTGGAGGTCCTGGGTTCGACTTCATACTGTTTCGTGGGTACGCACTAGTTAAAAGTCTCGTATCAGGACAAGGCAGCTATCCATTCCTCTAGGTTTTCAATAATATCCTAACTGAGGTCAACCTGTTTAGAATACTTCCTACAAATTAAAATTACTCAGTCACAAAATGAGTCAACCACTTTATTTGTTCCTTATCTCTCTCTCTTTCATTTCTTTTCCTTTTTTTTAATTATTAGGTAATAAGTTAGAATTGATTGAAATAAATCCACCACTTAAATTACAACGTTTACGTCAAGCTAATTTACCTAAAGCATATCAACCTACAATTGATTTACACTCACTTGGATCTGGTTTACGTGCAATGGGTCGACGACGAGAATCACAAATTAGTCAACATAGCAGGCGTCGAATGTCTAGAACACATTCAATTCACGATTCCGTGCCAAATATTCATAGTATAAAAACAATTCAGTCAACTACTATTCATACAGATGATGATAACAATCAATTAGCATCATTTTCAAAGCTTAACGGAAATTTAATTAAACAAAGATTAAAACAAATTAAGGTAACTTTTTGTTTTGTTTTTTCTACCGTTTACATGATTTAATGACAATTTTATTTTCAAAATTGTACATAATCTTATGATTTATTAATTAATTATCTAAATTTACAATTAGTGAAATTTTTTTTCTGGATAAAACTAGTAGATGAAATTAACTATAGATAAATTACATTCATTAAATCGACATACTTACTTACTTACTCATGCCTGTTACCCCCAATGGAGCATAGGCCGCCCACCAGTTTTCTCCAACCAACTCTGTCCTGGGCTTCTTTCTGCAGTTCTGTCTAATGTTTGTTCATTCCTCTCATATCTTTCTCTATTTCTCGGTGTAATGTGTTCCTTGGCCGTCCTCTTTTCCTCTTGCCTTGAGGGTTCCATGTAAGGACTTATCTTGTGACGCAGTCAGGTGCTTTTCGTAGTGTGTGTCCTATCCACTTCCACCGCCTCTTCCTGATTTCCTCCTCCACTGGAATCTGGTTTGCTCTCTCCCGCAGTACGTTGTTGCTGATGGTGTCTTGCCAACGAATCCGAAATATTTTGCGTATACATCTGTTAATAAACACTTGTATCTTCTGGATGATGGCTTTGGTAGTTCTCCATGTTTCCGTTCCATACAGTAGAACTGTCTTGACATTTGTATTGAAAATCATGATTTTGGTTTCGGTTGAAAGTTGTTTGGAGTTCCAGATATTTTCCAACCGTAGGAATGCAGTCCTCGCTTTGCCAATCCGCGCCCGCACATCTGCATCCGATCCACCTTTCTCGTCGATGATGCTGCCCAGATATGTAAAGTTGTGAACGTCCTCCAAGGCATCTCCATCAAGAGTGATTTGGTTGGTGCATGTTGTGTTGCATCGGAGAATTTCGCTTTTTCCTTTATGTATGTTGAGACCTACTGCTGCAGAGGCTGCTGCTACACTGGTTGTCTTCTCTTGCATTTTTTTTTGCGTGTGTGATAGAAGAGCCATGTCATCTGCGAAGTCCAGATCGTCCAGCTGCGTCCTAACTGTCCAGTTGATACCGTGCTTCCCTCCAGATGTCGACGTCTTCATAATCCAGTCGATGACCAGGAGAAAGAGAAAGGGTGAGAGTAAGCAACCTTGTCTGACACCGGTCTTCACCTCGAAAGAGTCTGTCAGCTGACCTCCGTGCACGATTTTGCAGTTGAATCCATCATAAGAATTCCGTATGATGTTGACTATTTTCTCAGGCACCCCGTAGTGTCGAAGAAGCCTATTAGATCGACATAAAACTGTTTTTAAAAAAGTCATTGTAGGGTTCGTCACTAGGTACTCTTGAAGCTATTACGAGTTCACCTTAGTCGATAAACGCGAATGAGACAATGACCAGCGTCCAGATAGGCTACTTTGAATCCCAAGCTGAAGACAGAAGGCTTTACAAGCGTAGAAAGTATATTCTACAAACACCCAGCAATCACAATACCATCAAGCATACAACTCTCGTTTATTTATACATCATAGAAACGTCCTTGGGACAGTTACGAAAATAGCACACTAAAATACACAGCAGCCAATCACAGCCATGAATTTTCCTGGTGGGAAATGAAATCTCAAGGTCAACTGATCAGCCCATGCTGGCAAACGTGAAATCCAAAATAAGGCATTTATCAAGCGAGTTTTCGGGATCTAACATCCCCAACAATCATACGAGACAAAAAAAGTTGACCTAAAATAGTGTATGTTCTTGTATAGCGACATTGTTTTCAAAGTAATAAAGTTGCTAAACTCATGCCTTATCACCCTCCACCTTTATCTAGGCTTTTCTTGCTGGCAGGTAACCCTAGAAAGGCTTCAGATGAAGTTAAAATACAGTCGTTACAATAGGATAGGACTTTGCCGAAAGTGATACAGTTATAAGTATAAAAAATCAATGAATTGTGTGGGTATTTTAAATTCACTGTGGTTTATTATCACTGTTTTTCTTTTTCATTGACCATTATACATTTAACCTCAAGTTCACTACTTCATTGGTTTTATAAATTTAAACGGAAACTTTGAGATTAGTACTAATAGAATATTACCATTATCAACCAAGTGTGCTAGGATAGAACTGCGTATTGTTTTTGACTGACCTTTCTTTTTAGCACACCTGGTTGATAGTGGTCACATTGTAGATAAGTCTAGATCTTCTCAGGTGATCTATCGTATACCTCAATCATGAATGGCTAAGTAAAAGCATGTACAGAAAAAATCCCACTGCTTGTCAATACACTCACTTTTGTAGTTTTACACCTATCCACTACAAAAGAAATTTGTTTGGATGTCTCACTAGCAGAGCAAACAATTCAACGGAGATGTGGCCTGCGATACTCTGAAGGACAGATTAACGAGAGTAATTAGTAGAACATTCAACCCAGCCAAACTTGCGTTGACCTTCTCAAGTTGACCATCGATGTCTACCCAAACGAAGGATAATTTATCTGAGTTGGCCTCCTCTATGTGCATTTACAAGTTTAGCTGCTCCTGTGGAGATAGCTATATCGGGCGTACTACCAGGAATGAGTGAACATCTCCCAACATGGTTTAAAAAGTGTCAGTCAAAAACAATACGCAATTCTATCTTAGCACACGCGGTTGATAGTGGTCATATTGTAGATAAGTCTAGATCTTATCGGGTGGTCTGTTGTATACCCTAATAGAATATTGTTAAATCTATTCTCCAAATCGTGTTTACAAATCTTTAGAGCATAATGTACACATGGATACTATATTATACTACATACTCATACATTACTTACTCCTGTTAATCCTCGTGGAGCATACGATGCCCACCAGAATTCTTTAACCTGCTCTATCCTGGACCTTCCTTTCCAGTTCTAACTAATTGTTGTTCATTCTTTTCATGTCTGCTTCCATTTCTGTGCATAATGTGTTCCTTGGTCCTTCCTCTTTTCCTCTGATTTGAAGGATTCCATGTTAGAGCTTGCCCTTGTGACGGGGTTGCGTACTTTCGCCAATTTTTGTCCTATACTCAAACATTACATCATATGTACATGATGTAATGTGAAATCTATACTGCCAAATCGAAATTTCTTATCCTTCATAGCGTTTGAGAATAATCCTATCTAACTGACTATTACCTACCACTTTAATTATTAATTAATCCATTGGAACTCTTCAGTTTTCATGTGATTTTTTGTGATTTATAAAAATATGATTAAAGCTAGAGCAACAATTGTGGCTTTTGCCAACTTGAGTCACTTATGACGTAGGACGAGTGTACTGTGCAGCAGTTCGCTTTTTCCTACTATATACATGCGAAACATGGCCGGTTGGAGTTGAGGATATTCGTAGGGTATTAGTATTCGATTATAGATGTCTTAGAAGCATTGCTCGTATATCCTAGGACAATCGAGTAAGCAATGCTATAGTTAGGAAACGAGTTCTAGGTAAGGATGGCAGATCAGTAGATGAAGTATTTAAACTTCATCAGTTGAGGTGGTTGGGACTTGTGTTCGAACGCCTGACAACCGACTACCTCGACGAGCTTTGTTTTGGGATGTAGGAGTAGGTTGGAAGAAAGCTAGGGGCGGCCAGACCAAACCATGGCACAAATCCATGAAATCACAGACGACAAGTGGACTGAGTCATTTTGGTAGGTGCCGACTACCTGTTTGGTATCCGCGAGACGAAAGTCACCGATGATTACAGACCTTGAACTATATGGCTCAAAGTCGTTTGCAATGACGCAGGCGCATCCACTCCTTGTGTTCTCTCAAATTCTAATCTTCTGAATTCCTCATCACTCCTATCTTTTTCCTTCTAAGTTTATCTTACTTCTTGAATAATACCTTTGATCCCTAATATTTTTCATTACCGCTAATTCTTCTACTATCTCCACCGCTATGAGATTTGAATTGACATTTGCGTATGTGTTATGGCAACCTGAATTTATGTACTTACTTACGACTGACTGACTGATTGACGATTGTAACAAAACACTAAGAATTCTTTCAATATCAAAGATTTTCTCTCTCCGATTGATTACAAACTAGACATAATTAATCCTAATAATAATTTTTTTTTAAAAATAAAAAACCCAATTACCAATAACTGATGTAACACATTTCGATTTTCAAACTAAATGAATTTGACACATATATTTAAACCACTGAGCCGGTATCCAACATTGTTAATGTCTAACTTGATCAAATCCACAGAGTTGCGCAACCTCATACACAGTCTTCAGTAGACACTGCCTTCACCCGAACAGGTTGAACTTCACTGGTCACGTCTTCCCACTAAAACTCGGAGAAGATTCCTCACGAATCTAGTCATTAGTGAGCACAGGTAATTTGCATTACGGGGTTGTTGTGAAGATTCATAAGTTACACATTTTGCGTTCGCGCACAATACCGAAGGTCTTGGGTTCGAATCCCACGGGGTGCAGGAGTCGTGGATACGTACTGCTGAGGAGTCCCATACCAGGTCGAAACGGCTGTTCAGTGCTTCCAGGTTTCTAATGGGGGTCTAACTTTGATCGATTCATGGTTTCAAAATTCTGTTACTTAACATTCTTTACAACCCCGTAATGCACATATATTCAAGAAAATAGATAGTAATGATGAAAAAAAAAGTTGAAAAGTATTTTTTTTTTCAAATGGTTGTTTATTTCTGAGTTAAATAATAACAAATATTCTAGACAAAGAAATTGAAAATATGCAGTGAGCATTAAATTCCAACGTTAATCCACGCAACAAATCTAGTAAATATTTAAATAGTTGAACACAACAAGGCCTAGATTAGATTACAAGTGTACAATAAGCTTTGATGTCATTAAAACAACCAAAGATGAGAATAGTTGTAAATGTCATTTGGAATGTTTGTTTGTTTTTTTCTCTTAGAATAAATAGTGTAATCAATTCTCAAGGTCTTTATTGCATTGATTGTTTTGAAATGTCAGCATTAACTCACGTAATAAATCATCGTTTTCAATTTTTTTCAAAAATATGATTGTTTTTTTGATTAATTTACATTTGTGTATCAAGTTTAGTTTTTTTCAAGAGTTTTTTTGAAACTACTATTATGTATAGTAGTAGTATGATAATCTGCATTGATAATTATCATTGTTTATCGATTATAAACAGTCAAAGAGAGTTTTGTATATTACATATATGTCATCATATTTTCATTTTTTAAAAGCTTCCAAAAATATCATTTAATTTTGGTCGAAATATGCGATCAACAGTTGAACAGAGTGGAAATGAGGAACCAACAATTTTGGAAAAAGTCAACAATACCGAACAAGTTAAAGATGAATCGAAATCGGAAACTATAGGTAAAGTAGATGATTATTATTACTTAAAGAAAAATGAATACATTTTGCATATGATTTACTTTAGCTATGTTATGATCATCACTAGGTATGCTTGAAACTATGACGAGTTCACTTTAGTCGATAAATAAGAACGAGACAATGAAGCAGCGTCCAGGTAGGCTACCCTGATCCGTTGACTCAAAACAGCTAGTGAGAAGTCTTGATATAGCGTAGAAAGTATATTCTACAAACACCCAGCAAACACAATGAATTCAACCACACAAATCGAGTTTATTTAAACATCAGAGAAACGTCCTTGAGAGAGTCACAAAAATAGCACACTAAAATAATACAGTAACCAATCATAGCCAAGGATTTTCCTGGTGGGAAATGAAATCTCAGGGTCAACTGATCAGCCCATGCTCGCAAATGTGAAATCCAAAGTAAGGCATTTATCACTCGAGTTCTGGGGACCTAACGTCCCCAACAAGCTAGTATAAATTATTGAACTCGATATTGTAATTTTCTGAAATTACTACCATGAGTTAGAAGTTATTATTTTGTTTATGGTTTTTTAAATTAGATTAGTTAAAAAAATTAATAAGAACCCGACAATGAAAAACACCAAGCTCTTAAATGATTTAGTGTATAAAGACAAAAGAATTGAACAAGAAATTAAGTTCTTTAAATAAATGATATGCTTCAATGTTATTACGAGTTCACCTTAGTCGGTAAACGAGACAAAGCAATGACTCAGTGACACGATAAGCTATTCTAATCCGTTTGTCCCCGGCCTGGCTAACTATATCGAGAAGTCTTGATAAGGCGTAGAAAGTGTATTCTACAAATACCCAGAAAACACGAGGTCAACAAGCACACAAATCGAGCTTATTTATACATGACAGAAACGTCCTTGGGGAGGGGCACAAAAAAAAGCGTAATAAAATAATACATCAACCAGTGACAGTCATGGATCTCCCGAGTGGGAAATGTAAGCTGAAGTTCAACTAAGCATCCTATGCTCGAAAAAATAAACAATCCTGAATTAGGACCTTTTCTGAGCGAGTTCTGGGTATCTAACGTTGCCAACAATAAATTTCCACATTATTGAAATTATACATCAGATATCAAGACAAACCAGATAAGTATGTGACCGAAATCAATTGTTGCTCCAAGTAACAGCTGAAACTTACCGAAATCTAGATTTTCTTTCAATCTTCACACTAAATGTTACGAGTTACATAGGTTATGCTGCAGCTTCAGTCTGCATATATATATATATATATATATATATATATATATATATATATATATATGTCACTCCAATAGATATTATTGATCAGGTGAATACCTTTTTGTCATCTCCTATTCCAAGCCAAATTTAATTCGATTAAGTTAGTTTAAAGTAAGGCGATAACATAACTAGACGATGATAAATTATTTTGTAAGTCAAAGGTAACTAGATGATTTTTATTTGCTACATTGTGATTTAACTGAAGTACATACATCATGGGATTCCGACTCCATAATCTACAAATAATGAGCTCACCACCATACTTATAGATTACTGAAAAGTTCAAAACCAAAACAATACTCCTTAGTTTAATTTATTTAGTTTAAGAATTATTTTTGATCATCTTTTATTGATAGATAATATAATTTTTCTCTCTATTATTACCAGATTGTAGAGGTTTCTGTTCACCTAAACTCAAGTTAAAACATAAAAATAAAAATCATATACACACTAAAAATGATGATCATAATGATGATGAAGACAACAACGATGTCGACGTAGATGATGATGATGATGATGGTGAAAGAGACGAAGAGACTGAAGATACTGATAATAGTCATTGTACAGGAGATGAAACTGACATTGATCTGACTGATGACGATTCATTATCCGAAGATAATCATCATCAATCAAAGAATAGACTTATAACAACTTATCAATTGTCAACAGAATTTCCTAAATTTAGACGATCAACATATCATAGTGTCGATGAATCATATACACATAAAAATCATATTGTACCAATAGCACTGCATCAATCATTATTCTCAACATCAATAGCACAGTGGAGAAAATATTCACATTCAGAATCGGATTTACTTAAAAAATTTCCAGTATTCACATTATCATCAACATCTTCATCTTACAATAATTATTCACCAGGCAGTCATTGTCAACAAAATCGACAATATAAATCACGAAAAAAACTAATGCGAGAATCATATCAAGCTATAAATGTGAGTTTTATATTGCTGTGATTCGACATTACTGTTTTTTAGACTGAGAATTAGTTTGTTGAAGATTTCAGGGACACCTTGCGGACAAGTGGGTAGCTAGCAAGAAACCTTAGGTACATATTGTTGAATGTTAACTAGATTCAATCACCTAACATTTCAACATGATCCACATGAAGTCGAGTCACTTGGATTGGTGGCTATACTATTGAGGTGGTTAGGAGAAGCCTCCAGAGGCGTCCAAGAAGCAGAAGCGCTTCCATCCAAACACAGATCGGTAAAATTTATAGAGTGTCGATGTGGCTGAATGATTTTAATAATGTTTCTATTTTGTACAGAAAACTATGAATATTCATGTTTTCTCTGTACACTTCTGACACTTGTTGGAGTAGAAGTTTCTTTTATTTTTCCTCCACGTGGGGGTGCATTTCTGCTCGTTCTCACGCCCTAGTTGTACCGTATATTAGCCTTTCTGGTAGTAAACTTAAACACTGAAAAGGTCTACATAAACATGAAAGTAGAACAACACATGTGAACAAACAATACTGCTTACAACTAAATCATCAGGCTTTACTCTAATATACAATCATATTCATAAACATATAAATTGCCTTGACTTGTTGAATAATTTCATATAAGTCAGGGATAAATAGTGTAATAAGAAATACAAATTGATAGTATGATGACTAGCAGGCTGGTATGATAAAAACGTAGAATTAGTCACCACTCAGTAAACTATGATTTACAAACTCTTCATTTGCTTCTAGACAACTGATTCCCTTCTTCTGAATGGTCACCAATAATGAGCGTTATTCTGCAAGTTTAGCTATTTAGACTTAGACAGATTCAATGATATTACAATTGTGCTATTCAAAACAATTTTTGTTCATGAATGGCAGCCGAGAATTAACTTACTATATACAGTTTCTTACAGATCTACCTTCGACATGTAACAACGAAATAATATATTTTGAAAAGGCCAGAATCAATTTGATTGAAAAGATGCTCTTCTTCTCCCACTTGTCAGACAGATACGACGCAGAACTTCGTACATAAGTAGTACATCAGTTCAGGCTGCCATACCACGTCAGAACAGAGATGCAACTGTCAGTTCAAATCCAATAGTGATAGTAGAAGTATTAGCAGCAAGGGGTGAAGATATGATTCGAGAAGTATAACTCAGTGAGATAAATTCAGAAGGAGAAAGGTAGAGATTATGAAGAATTCAGAAGGTTAGAATTAGAGAGTACACAAAGAATAAATGCACCTGCGCCATTGCAAACGATTCTGAGCCATGTCATTCAAGGTCTCTAACCATCGGTTACTTTAGTCACGCTGACCCCGACCTGGTAGTCGACACCTACCAACATGACTCAGTCCACTTGTCAGTGACTTCGTGGATTTTGTTGGGGATGTTAGATCCCCAAAATTCGCTCGTCACTATTTAATACTCGTTATCGATGTTTGAAGCTTATTATGAACGAAGATGATGATTTTCTTACGCACGTGGGCATCGTCAACCGTGAATGCGAACGCTTTCGGTTGAAGTCTTTGTCGGAAGACCAGTTCAAAGCCCTCATTCTCATCTGCAGCCTCCAGTCGAGTAAGTTCAGTGACATTAGAACAAGGCTACTAAGTCGGTTGGAGCAAGATCCAAAGCTTACACTTAATGATATGGCTCATGAGTACCAACGTCTCACTGACCTACAACGAGACTCGACTATAGTTCAGAGTGGTAGCTCAAGCCGATCTGAAATTCATTTGGTACAGCAGCCACCTAATCATTATAAGTCTGCCCATGCTACACCCAGTTCACCCCGCTCCAATTCGGCCCAAAAACCCAAAATGAATCCACCTTCTGCTTGCTGGCACTGCGGTTCATGGCACTATGTACGGAACTGCCCATTTAGGCAGCATAGATGCAGGAAGTGTAAAGTCATCGGTCATAAAGATGGCTTTTGCCTACAGAAAAAGCCAAAGCGATCCAGAAGTGCTAAGAAGCCTCTTCCTAGATCCAGTACCAATGCATTGAGCCTAATATCTTCCTGCCAAAGTTCATCACCAGGTGAGAGGAAATTTATTACTCTTAATATTAACGGTTATTTGTGTAGAATGCAAATAGATACTGCATCTGATGTCACTATCCTCTCACGCAAAAATTGGACCAAGTTGGGCAGCCCAAGCCTGCAGCACACAACACAAAAGCCTCGCACAGCATGTGGTAATTATCTTCGTCTGTTAGGACAATTGGAATGTAAAGTTGCTTTCCGGGATTCGTCGTTTACTGGGGTATGCTATATAACGCCAGCTGATCTAAATTTACTTGGTTTAGATTGGTTCGACCAGCTAAAATTGGCTGATGTCCCGCTAAATACCATATGCAACCTGGTATCACAACGACATGACCCAGAAGCGTATACGAAGAAGCTGATGACAGAGTTTTCAACCATTTTTGAACCTGGATTAGGTCGGTGCACTGCTATGAAAGCAACACTTCGGTTGAAACATGGGGCTAAGCCTGCTTTTCGTCCAAAGAGACCTGTACCGTATGCTACATTAGCAACAGTAGATGAAGAGCTGGATCGCCTTCAACGACAAGGAGTTATTACTCCCGTTTCTTACTCCAGTTGGGCAGCACCTATAGTCGTTATCAAGAAGGCCAACGGAACGATACGTATATGTGCTGACTTCTCTACAGGTCTCAACGCAGCTCTAGAACAGCATCATTATCCTCTGCCAGTTCCAGCAGATCTGTTCACTATGCTGAATGGAGGAAAGTTCTTCGCAAAGCTTGACCTAGCTGATGCTTATTTGCAAGTGGAAGTCGATGAAGCATCTAAAGAGCTGCTTACTATCAACACTCATCGCGGTTTGCTTCAGTATAACCGTCTACCTTTTGGAGTTAAGACTGCGCCATCTATCTTCCAACAACTAATGGATACAATCCTGTCAGATATCTCAGGGGTTGCAGCTTATCTCGATGATATCTTGATTGTTGCGAAGACGTTAGAACAGCTACGGGAACGCACGACATTGGTACTACAACGCATCAGTGACAATGGTTTCCGGTTACGCCCAGAAAAATGCCAGTTTCTATTGCAGTCGGTAAAGTATTTGGGATTCATCTTTGATGCCGACGGTCGCAGACCGGATCCTGAGAACATCCGAGCTATCAAACTGATGCCCGCTCCCACTAATGTTTCCGAATTACGATCTTTTCTCGGTTTGATCAGTTATTATTCAGCTTTTGTTCCCTCGATGCATGATATTCGCGCTCCATTGAATTGTCTACTGCAGAAGCATAGCACATGGAACTGGACTAAAGAGTGTGACGCGGCTTTTGGTAAACTCAAGTCTATAATTAGCTCGGAATTGTTATTAACACACTACGATCCATCCATGCCGATCATCGTAGCAGCAGACGCTTCAGCATATGGCCTAGGTGCTGTTATTTCACATCAGTTTCCAGACGCGTCAGAAAAAGCCGTTATGCATGCATCCCGTACACTGACCCCAGCAGAAAAGAAGTATAGCCAGATAGAGAAAGAAGCTCTTGCCCTTGTGTTTGCTGTTCGCCGTTTCCATAAGTTTCTGTACGGTCGGAGATTCACGCTCCTCACAGATCACAAGCCTCTGTTAGCAATATTTGGTTCAAAGTCTGGCATTCCAGCCCATTCTGCAAATCGTCTCCAGCGATGGGCCTTGGTACTTTTGGGGTATGATTTCGAAATCCAATATCGACGCACTCTACAATTCGGTCAAGCAGACGCTTTGTCACGACTCATTAATGATCAAGTGGCGGCTGAGGAAAACATGGTGATCGCATCTCTGTCAGTAGAAGACCACGCAGAATGTGATCTGACAACCGCAGTTCGCGCATTACCGGTGTCTGCAACAGACATACAAAATGCTTCTAGAAACGACCCCATCATCAAGATGACGATGAAATATGTCACTAAAGGTTGGCCGTCGAAAAAGTTTGAAGGTGACATCAAGCAACTGTATCAGCGGCGGAATTCACTATGCATCGTGAACGATTGTCTCATGTTTGGTGAAAGAGTAGTGGTTCCAGCATCCCTTCGTGCAAAAGTGCTGAGACAGTTCCATCTTGGTCATCCTGGGATTAAACGAATGAAGTCCATAGCCAGGAGTTATGCATACTGGCCTCACATGGATCAACATGTCACAGCGTTGGTTGAAAAATGCATCCGGTGTCAGCAGGCGGCAAAGATGAATGCCAAAATTCCGCCGGTTTCATGGCCCAAACCTGAGCATCCTTGGTCCAGGATACATGTCGACTTCGCTGGCCCAATAAATGGAACTATGTATTTAATTGTCGTCGATGCCTTTTCTAAATGGCCGGAAATCAGCCCCGTTATGCCGCCCACTACAACTAAGACTATACAGCTCCTAACTGAAATTTTCTCACGAAATGGCATACCAGATGTGATCGTATCCGACAATGGCTCTCAATTCACCTCTTCCCAATTCCAGAATTTCTGTCAACGGCTAGCTATTAAACACTTACGCTCGCCACCATACCACCCGCAATCGAATGGGCAGGCGGAAAGGTTTGTGGATACGTTTAAAAGAGCACTGCTCAAGTCAAAAGGGGAGGGGACGCCAGCCGAAACGTTACAAAATTTCTTGTACGTCTATCGGACAACACCAAATGAATTGTTACCGGAGCAAAAGTCCCCAGCTGAAATCCTGATGGGAAGAAGATTGAAAACGATCCACAGCCTGATGCATCCGACTAATGCACCCTCATCAGTAAAGACAAAGCAGCAAAGACAATCCGCTTACGAAGTAGGATGCCCTGTGTTTGCCCGCGACTACAGAACGAACCATGGTCCTTGGGTAGAAGCGAGAGTGGTCAGAAGGGTTGGTCGAGTTATGTACGAAGTAGAGGTAGGAGGTGATAAATGGTCACGTCATCGGAATCAGATACGCAGACGGCTAGCCCCAGATCGCCCATCAAGAGCAGAAAGCCTTCCCCTTGACATCTTGCTTGATACCTTCAACCTACCGAGAGCCCCGCCACGAGAAGAAACTCAGCAGCAAGCTGTTCTTCGTTCTCGAAGGTATCCCCTCAGACAGCGGCGAACAATAGTCAAGATGCAAGTCAACCACAGGAGAACACGCTATTAAAAAGGGGAGGAGTGTTGGGGATGTTAGATCCCCAAAATTCGCTTGATAATGCCGTATTTCGGTTTTCACGTTCGCCAGCAGGGGCTGATCAAATGACCTTGAGATTTCAACTCCCACCAGGAAAATCAATGGCTGTGATTGGCCACAGTGTATTTTAGTATGCTATTTTCTTAACTGTCTCAAGGACGTTGTTATGTTGTATAAATAAACGAGAGTTGTATGCTTGATTGTACTGGATTGCTGGGTGTTTGTAGAATATACTTTCTACGCTTACCAAGACTTCTGTTTTACCGTTGGATTCAAGGTAGCCTTCCTGGAAGCTGGTAAAAGTATCGTTCGCGTTTATCGACTAAGGTAAACTCGTAATAGCATCAAGCATCCTAAGTGACGAACATATCAGATTTCTACCATGTTTTGGTCTGGCCGCCCCTAACTTTCTTCCAACCTACTCCTACACCACAAAACATAGCTCGTCGAGGCAGTCGGTGGTTAGGCATACACAACACGTGTCCCGACCACCTCAACTGATGAAGTTTCATTACTTCATCTATTGATTTGCCATCCTTACCCAGCACCCGTTTCCTAACGACAGCATTGCTTACTCGGTCGTACCAGGATACACGAGCAATGCTTCGGAGACACCGATGACTAATAACCTACGAACATCTACTCTTAACGGTCATGTTTCGCATCCGTATAGTAGGACAGAGCGAACTGCTGCGCAGTACACTCCTCCTTTGGTTAACAAGCGGATATCTCGCCTGCTCCATAAGTGACGCAGGTTGGCAAAAGCCAATTGAGCCTTCTGTATCCATGCTCAGATTTCGTCAATCACCTGGCTATCAGCACTGATGAGACTTCTTCGCACTTGTTCTCAATTGTGCTATTCATTCTTTTCATTATCTGCCTTCAATTCTCGATGCAATATGTTCTTAGGTCTGTGCTTTTTGTTTTGTCCCCAAGGAGATTCTAAGTCAGGATTTGTAACGGCATGATCTAGTTAGTATTCGTTTGGATATTTCATACACATTTATTTTACGTCTTGTGTTCTCCTATTTGAATATATATATGCTTACTAAACTATTTAATTTAGGGAGTCATTTATCCACTACAGACATATTACATTGAGCTTAGAATTATCTTTTCTGGTTGATATTATATTGATGAATGTGTCAAAGATAAACTGGCACTTTTTATCACCACAATATCAGTTAGTCAAACACAACGTACAACGTGGTACGTGTGTAGTACATCAGTTCGAGTTTCTGTACCCCAAGAGTACAATGAGATGACATATATGTCTAACTTAACAGATGCATAAGTTATTAAGGTATTTCGATCGAGATTCGAAAAATGAGTTTAAAATGGATTTGCATTACGGGGTTGTGAAGATTGTCAAGTTACACATTTTTATAACCATGAATCTATCAATGTTAGATCACCATAAGATACCTGGAAGCACCACCTTCGCCTACAATGCCGGAGGTCCTGGGTTCGAATCCTGCGTGGTGCAGGAGTCGTGGATGCGCACTGCTGAGGAGTCCCATACCAGGACGAAACGGCCGTCCAGTGCTTCCAGGTTTCTAATGGTGGTCTAACTTTGATCGATTCATGGTTAAAATGGATTGGCGTAAATTATTTGGTACAATTTTTACATCTATTTATTTCAAACTACTTATAAGTAATCACATATAAAATTGATATATTTTATGTTTTTAATTTTTATTAGAAATCTAAACTTTCATTAGAATTAAATCGAACTATTGGAGATAATAAAAATGAATCAACAATAATTACACAAGAAGTACCTCAAGTTTATGTTGATGGAATGAATCCAATCGGAAATGAAAAACAAATCAATCTAGAATTGGCTACTGCTACTACTACTACTTTAGAACAATTATTATATGGAAATAATAGTAATAATAGTAGTTATATTGGAAATATTAATGATGGTATTGATCATATTCAACAATATGACAACACGAATACAATTGATCACACAATACCATTCAATTACATGAATAATAATAATAATATTTTCTATGAAAGAATACAACAATTATTAAAAGTTTATACACAAACAAATATGATGAAGTGTATATTATTCTCTAGTGAATATAATAATAGCTGTAATGGTAATACTAATCATAACATCAACGATAACATTCTTCCTTCTTCCTGCAACATGACACTTTCATCTATTAATCATCAATCAATTGGATATAAAGATAATGATTTATATGAATTGTTAAAACATATCTATTTACCAGAGATTAATTTAATTAAAAGTTCAAAATTAACAGCAAAATTAAAACGTAAACAAATTTGTTCATTGATTTATTTGAATAGCATACGTCGTGAACTAGGCCTATCATCAAAGAATAATAATAATAATAATAAGGATGAAAACGAAAAACTCCAAACAAAAATGACCTATTCATCATTTATTCTATTTTAAATTTATCCACATGATTGGTTGATTGATTGTTTTATGTGTTGTATATATATATATATATATATATATATACACGCAAACACAATACAAATTTTTTTTCTTTCTGTATACTACTTATTTACCTAGTAGTAGTAGTATTACTACTACTCAAGTGAAATGAACTTTAATCAAAAAAGAATCAAACGAACAAGATATTATTTCTTCACTTGGTTATTTTGTTTATATTCTTCTTCTAATGTTGTCAATGTGTAACTTGGTTGTTGTAATCAATTTGCACTAACTAGTACAGTCGTTGAATTGATTTTATACAACATGTTTTCTTAAAATGAGATAAATTATCTGTATCGTATGCATAGATACTACTAATTTTTAATCTATGCCTGCTTATAACTTATTTTTCTATTCTCATTAGTTTGAAATTGATGTTGTACTACTACTACTACTGATGTTGTATACTACTTATTTCTTTTTCACTACATTATCAGTTTCCTCTATTTTTGTACTGCTACGAATATATATATATATATACATGTTCATTGATAGAGATCAGTGTGTATGACTACTCTTTGTCTTTCTCATCATAATTATCTCTCTCATCTTCGATTTGATTGATATGACTATAAAAACACAATCAAACCATTTATCATTTTATGAATAAAAGAAGTTAAATTTAATTTTTTTTTCTGGAAAAACTGCTACTACATCATTATGTATTGTGATTATTGATCGATACTGTGTTTATCCCATCATTATTATTTTCAATTCATAACTGTGATTTAATTTGAAGTTTTACTTAACCACAGATGACAAGCTGGTTTGATAGTTATTGAAAACTAGGAATCATTGGCCAGTGGCTTCTTCCTAGTATGTTGTATATATAAATAATATAATCGTAGAATAAAATTGAATTTCAATGAAAATGATTTTGCTCTTTTGTTAGTCTTTTTATTGGAATTTTTTACATTTCAATGAAATAATTGAAAATACCCAGAGATTTTTCCTTTCTTTGAAAAATTGATTTTACCCGAAAAACTAGGCTTAACTGTAAAGATGTTAACAAATGTCAAATAGAGACCCTGAATGACATGGCTCAAAACCGTTTGTGATGGCGCCGGTGCATTCATTCTTTGTGTTCTCTCAAATCCTAAACTGTTTAATACTTCATCACTTTATCCTTATCTTTTTAAGTCTATTTCACTAGATTCTACTTCTTGAATAATATATTCTAACCCTAATCTCTCCGATTACTGCTGATACCCTTACTATCTCTCCTACTATTGAATTTGAATTGACAATTACATCTCTGTGCTAATGTGGTATGGCAACATGAACTGATGTACTTACGTACGAAGTTCTACGTTGCAACTGATCAGCCCACGTGCAAAAGCATAAAACCGAAAATTAGGACCTTTATCAAGTGAGTTCTGAAGATCTAACATCCCCAACAGATAATGAAGGTTAGGATGAACTCAAATAAATAAAAAACCATAACTGTATATCGTAATATTATTTTTTTATTATTATGTATGGAGTATAAAAAAATATTTCCTGTGTATAGAAAAAATGATTTATCAACAAATATCATATATAAACAAACAACTAAATGCAAAATGCAATAATACACAGTAAAAAAAGATGAATAAAATAAAAAGGCGGAAGATAGAGACAGATACAAATAATCAATAAGTGTGTGTATGTGTATGTGTGTATAGGAAGTTTTGTATTTCATAGATAGGAAATAATATTATATAAAACAATAACCAGACATGAAATAATATGTATGTAGTTAATTGTTTCTCTCACAGAGAAGTACTGGTCTTTTTCTAAATGCTAACAATAAATTTGTCATTTTATAAATGAATTTTTATAAAAGGCAAATACAACAGTAAACAAAACGACACCATAATTGTTTGTTTGTTTATCCCTATTTATTTGTGTTGTTGTGATTATTGCTGCCGCTGCTGTCGATGATGATGATGATGATGATGACGACGATCATATATACAAGAAAACATGTACGTAAATATTCTCTTGAATAAGTGAAATTAAACAGTGTTCTGTGTACATGAAACATAATTATTGTTATGAATGAAAAAAAATTTCTTTTTATCCATGTGTTTGATCATCTTCCACAAAATCAAGTGCTTCACCTTTAGTTACACATTCAATATGACTAACCTGAAATTAATTAAGAAAGCAATAGTTATTGAATATGGTTTTGGTTTTATTTTTCAAGAGAAAAAGCATATCTTGAGGAATAAATATATCTGTTCATAAATATTGTCAATAAGTGTTACAGTAATTTAGACCTCAGTGTTGGACCACTATTAGAAACCTGGAAGCACTAAAAGACGGCCGTTTTGTCCTGATATGAGATTGATCAGTAGTGCGTATGCACGACTCCTGCTACCTGCAAGATTCGAACCCAGGACCACCGGTCTTGAGAGCGAATGCCTAACCTCTGGACCAATGAGCAGGCATCTAACGGTGTTAATGACTAACTCTGATCAATCTAGGGATTTTGTGCGACTTCACTCATTGTCTTCAGTAGTTACCCCCTACATCCGACAGGGTTGTACTCTATTAGTCACGTCTTCTCACTAGAACTTAGAGAATTTCATCACGCAGCTAGTCACTAGTGAGCACATTTTACGAAGTTGGGCGTTCATGCGCAAGACCGAAAGTCCTGGGTTCGAATCCTGCGAGTAGCAAGAGTAGTGGATGCACACTGCTAAATTTAGAATGAGAAAACAGGTTATGAGTAATTCAGAAGGTTAATATTTGGGGGAAAACAACGCATCCGGGTCACTGTAAATAATTTTGAGCCATATCATTCAAAGTCTCTAACCACCGGTTACAATTGTCTGGAGGATTTCAACCAGGTAGTCTACATCTACTCAAAAAAGGTGAATAAAGTAGAGAGAGTTTATGAGCTTAAATGGTTGTCTAACTTCAAAAGAGTAGGTTTTCCCATTATATATTAGCCTCAGAACTACTTGTTAGATATAAGTGAATAATTGGGAAAGATGTAGACTTTTAGAACTGTTCTACAATAGATTATTACGTGTATTGCTCTTAACTAAAGGCTTTCATTTCATTTATGAACTGTTTATAAATGTTTTACCATGAGTTGATTTAGCAACTACCAAGTCTCATCTTTACATTGTCATATGAGTTTTTGAGTTACGTACCAACACAAATACACAAGATATAACAATTTGCTATCTTCATACATTAAGGTAATTATGGATAACAACTGTGCAGACCAACAGGCGTCAGGATAATTAATCGTTGTTGGTAGCAATTTGTGTGATTGGCTAAAATAAAGAACATGGGTTCGATCAACATAAAGCGAACCCCCATCATAACTGGATTCCATAAATCAACTGATTGTATTTAGTGGTTCATATAAACTGGTGAATCCCATGATAAAATCACCAACTTGACTTTATTGGCAATTCACTCAAATAATCATAACATGACTAACTGGGATTTTAAGAAATCGCTCAGAACTGGCAATTACAAAGAATTGGACAAATTAATTTCATTTATTTATCTAATGAAAACTGACCATCAAACTTAGACAGACAGACAGACAGATAAAACACAGAACTTCGCACGTAAGTACATCAGTTCAGGCTGCCATACCACATCAGCACACAGACAACTGTCAGTTCAAATCCAACAGTGATAGCAATAATAGAAGTATTAGCAGTAATGGAGAAGATTAGGGAGCGAAGATATGATATGATTTGAGAAGTATAATTCAGTAAGATAAATTTAGAAGGCGAAAGGTAGAGATTAAGAGGAATGCAGAAGGTTAGAATTAGAGAGTACACAAAGAGTGGATGCACCTGCGCCATTGCAAACGATTTTGAGCCATGTCGCTCAAGGTCTCTAACCATTGGTGACTTTCGTCTCGCGGACCCCAACCAGGTATTCAACAACTACTGACATGACTCAGTCCACTTGTCAATGACTTCATGAATTTCTGCCACATTTTGGTTTGGCCACCCCTAGCTTTCTTCCAATCTACTCCTACACTGCAAAACATAGCTCGTCGAGGCAGTCGGTGGTTAGGCATACGTAACACATGTCCCAACCACCTCAACTGATGATGTTTCAATGCTTCATCTACTGATTTGCCATCCTTACCTAGAACTCGTTTCCTAACGACAGCATTGCTTATAAGGCCATCAAACTTATGCCCATATTGGCATTGAAACATTCATCACGCACAAAAATGAAGTCAAAAATATCAACAATATATTTACAAAATAAATGAATTTAACAATTTAACAAGTAAAAGAAAAAAAAAGGTAAACCCCATAACATTACACTTACTTTATTACGAAATTTTACACCATAAAATTTTTCAGCTGATTCTAATAATTCCGGTCGAAATGTTGTAGTAATAAATTGTGCCTCGGATTTTAAATCTCTAATCATATCAGCTACAGCTTTACGATATTGTGCATCTAAAGCAGCATCAATTTCATCAAACAAATAGAATGGAGCTGGATCACATTTTTGAATAGCAAAGATTAATGTTAAAGCAACTAGTGATTTTTGTCCACCGGATAATTGATTCATATCACGCATATCAGCTGAATCACCAGTGAAACTAACACGTATACCAACTCCAATAAATCGTTCAACATCAGGAATAGCACTACCATCAGCACCGCCATCTTCATCACTGCTACCTTCACCTTCTTGCTATTCAATTCATTAATCAAAGAGGAGAAATCACAGGAGAACATTTAAACAACTAAATGGACAACAATGAATGATAACATAGAAAACATAATAATGGATCGTTTCAATTAACAATCATTTAGAACTGTAAACTTAAAATGATAGAATTATTATGATTTTACAGAATGTATAATGCGAGATTTCGATGTGATCTAGCCATTATTCACACAATCCATTTAATAATTAATGGAAGGAAAGAGGGAAAACGAAAATAAGATTATATCTAGGTAAAGGAATAAAAGACA